AATTTCTGAATTCAACACAAATTTTATAACGTGTGAAATATATATATGCTGTAGTAGTTTGCGCCAAACAATACTAGTACAGCTCCAACTTTTAACGCTTTACTAGGTCGCTTTGCGGAATGGTATATACACTATACAGTAACAGTCAGTTTGACGTAACCTCTGCCGAAATTGGAAATAATGCTATTTTTATGTTTGCTATATCGTAGGCAATTAATGTTTGATTTTAATTATTAAATTTGATATCTCGCGAAATGTATTTTTAGTTTTTAGCTTTTGAACATTAGACTAATTAACATTTTGAATCCTTTTCTGCTCCTATTTCAGTTCATACATGCTTCTTGATTGTTACTACACTCGTAATTAATACGATATTCATGCAGTTAGCCGTTATTAACACTCAGTTGAGTTTTTTTGAGGATGAATGCGTTCGAGAGGGTCGCTAGATTCCTCGACGCCCAGATTGGTTCACGTAACCATCGGCCTGTTGTCGATGCCCATCCAAGCCCACACCATTAACAGGTTAGATATACTCACACCCACTTTGGACTGGTACCCAAGCGATCGGACGCGGTTCGCTATGAGTCGTATCCAAAATTTTCTTTCCCTGGGATTAATGAAAAAATGTAATCCAAATCTGTAGGAATATCTACCCAAACTAAGGGGACTTTCTGCCTACTATTTGACGTAGGTTAAAATTCAGGGAGATTAATCCAGCTAATTTCAAGAAAGTTGGCGGAAATCCCAACGTAATGAGATTTATGACCAGGTGGTTAACCATCGATTTATTTTAACCATAACAAGAATACTGTTTGATTATACTTGATAAGGCATTGGAAATAAAAATTTTATGTACGAAAGATTGAATTATTCAAATTTCATTCTTGGTCACGTATAAATTTAACAAGTGCTCGAAATTTTGCGTAAAAAAAGTAGATTTTTGTCAGCGTTAACGAGATTAGCGTCAATTTATTTAACCAAACATGATTTGAAATGAAGAAATGTTATTTCATATGCAAATTTTTGTTTGGACTTGATTTTTAGTTATTCGATTTTTTCGATTCGATTTAATATTATTCCAGCTTTTTAAGTCTCCTGCGAGTTTAGGAAAAAGTTAGTCGATAGTGCCCATTCTCTTGAAAGTGCACTTCTGCTTACTTTTCTTTTCCTGTATATAATGCTATTTGACAACATATTTCACGATAATAAATAGAATCAAAATGATGATTTATCTCCGACTTGATTTTTAGTTATTCGATTTTTTTTAGATTCGATTTAAAATTATTCCAGCTTTTTATGTCTCCTGCGAGTTTACCAAAAAGTTAGTCGATAGTGCCCATTCTCTTGAAAGTGCATTTCTGCTTACTTTTCTTTTCCTGTATATAATGATATTTGACAACATATTTCACGATAATAAATAGAATCAAAAAGATGATTTATCTCCAGATAGGTAGCAAACAATTTGTTTTTGATAAAAACGAGAGTATGATATATTTTGTTTGGAAATTCTGCCAAACCACTAACAAGTAGCAAAATTTCATAGTAATTTTGCACGAGATATAAGTAGAGTAATCAAAGTCAATTATTTCGAAATGCGACTGTATTGCTTACTTCTGAAATGCTCAGAACCTCTTCATATACTTAAAACACTTCATTTTATTGAATATGCCGTGGTTTTTGCGAAAAATGGAATTTTTCGGTTGTAACCGATTTTATCCGCTTTCGAAAAACAACGGAGAGCGCTTTAGTTGCGATTTTTGTTAAATTCTTATTTGAATTGAAGTCGGGCCTCCACGATTCATTTAATTTTTTATTATTTCAAATCTATTCAAAATCGCACACAACGTCTCTAAACTTCTGCAAGTTTGATAAAACTTTTACTTTGCGCAGAAAATCTAGCGCATGGGCCGATAAATTTTTTATCGTTTGAGCTTCTTTCGAGTATAGGAAGATTTTGTTTCCGTGTGACATTTTCAAAATAGAGAGAAAACATAAAAATGTACTTATACGTGTGATTATGTACAATGAAAAGAATACGTAAACGGGTGTCGCATTGTCCTAAATTCAGTAGCTTCGGATGTAGCTACCTAGCATTAAATATTCATATATGCCTGATGAAAATTTTCCACCACGTAAATTAAATATAAATTGTTTACATTTGATTTTACGTCGAAGCGAGCGAAACAACGATAATAACCATAACGATAATGGCAATGAGCAACATAAACAGCATCCGCGCCAAAATAGCTCTTCGTGGGTTTTTTCAGGTTATGTTTTAGTAACCGTTAATGACTTAGTGCCAATAAGATTATTAAAATATATATTCAAATGAAAAACGATGTGGACGTTTTATTAATAATTTATTTTAAGGTTTTCGATTTAGCAAACTAATTATAATAACCAAAATTACGCATATTGGAACTGCCCAGATCCTAGCGTAGAGGTGTTTTTATAGCCCACACCATCATTTATAGATAATATATATATATACATTATTGTTTTGATTTTGTACGTTTATTTCATGCTTGCCAAGAACAAACAAATTAGTTTCTTGATTTTTACAATTTTGATTCAAAACGCGCGAATGCCCAACAATGACTAAATTGACCGAAAAATAAATAAATAGTTGGCTTGTTACCACAAAATAATATAATTCATAATCTTTCAAATGGAACTGTATTCATTACAAATAAAGAATGTAAATGTTCCACAAGGATTAAATGCCAGATAATATATATATAAAAGAACAAGCTCTTTATATTTCAAATGGAAGTGAACGTCTCACTCAATTTCATCTATATTCAAAAAAACGGCCATCTGAATAATTACAACCTTTAGCGAGCAGAGAAGTGTTTTTGCAGTCCGCCATCTCATACTTCAAATATAAGAAAAAATTAGGATTTAAAATATTATGTACTCACTTCTACATTTCACTTTTTGAATCCAATTTGAACAGCTTCTATCAATGAGCTAGATCTTTTTCTCAATTGATTTCAAAATGTTTGAAATATATTGTTCGCTATGAATGTTCAAAGTTTACTCTTGCGTAATTTATAGCTTCATTTACCTGGAAGCTTATTTAAAATTTATGCATGGGTGGGCAGTTCAATAATGGGCAATAGGCGGACTTCATTCGTACTTATGTACCTAGTAACAGTATTAGATATAATGTTGGATCGAGATATCGTGAAAAAATTCAAAATGTGAGTGGTAGAATCCGATCAATGTGTGGCTCTTTAGTGCGATATCGTGGCAGGACAATGAGCTATTGTGTTATCATTTCCATTTCACCTGGTGCGAGATCAGTATGCGCAGGATGACATTTCTCACTTCGACACCGAGTTACAGGGTGCTGCTGAAGCTGTGTCCTCTACTTTGGGACGTAAATGATAGTCTTCAATCTATAGAATAGAGTTAATAGACTAACAATTGACAGTCCTAACACCGGAACAATCCCACTGAGTTCTACTGGCGCAGCACGCTGCATCTTCAAGTCACTACTGTATTATCAGATTCGGTACCGTAGTCCACCGTTCCCCATGGAATAAATGAAAAAAACTCCGGCTATAACAAGAAAAAGGAAAGAGTGACTAGCACATACTCACTGCCCGAAGTCTATATGAAACGAGGAATAGGTACCCTGGATGGATTGCTTGGCTCTTCGATACTCCCTAGTGGCGTCCCGATTGCTAGTCAACAGTTCACGAAAAATATTGAATAACAAATTACCAATAAACTTGGTCGGGTCGATGCTTGATAACCAGCTTTGGTTCCTCGCGGCTTCCACTTTCCAGTGAAATCATGTTATTAACATTCTCACATATTTTTTTGCATTTGTATTATTTGCTTGAAAAAAAAAAAATAAACTCGAATATGACTATGAGAACAAGAGAGCGATGCTCAAATATATGCACACGAAATCCAAAATGAAGTAGTACAGTTATGCAATCAGAAGACTATCGTTACGTACCGTAACTGACTACCAGATCAACATACGCAAAAAATGGAACCGCCTAAGAGGAACGTGATTAAATTTCAAAATCATTGGTTCTGTGGATAAAGTGAATAGCGATTTTTTCATAACAATAGGAAGAAAATACTAAGAACATAATAATAATATCAAATTGATCCAATTTGTCCCCAACAACAACAGCAGCATAATAACAAAACGATCTATAGATACAATCCGTATCCAAAATACAGCAGGCAATGCACTGCTAAAGGGAGCAGTAACTTGGCGTTAGGAAATATAAATATTCACTTTAGATTGACTAATCTAATCTCAGACAATGTCGCTTGGTCAAACCGGCTGATAAAAACAATCGAACAGTTCGGTAGAAATCCTTCGAATGAAACAACTCAGATGTTAAGGTCTGATTGTTCAAGAAAATGAGCGCGATATCCTGGGGCAATGCAGAACAAACACTAGCTTTTAAACCAATGTCAGATGTATCTCTGGGATCGCAAAGTCATATCAACTTTGGAAAGATACAACAATTGCGCATCTAATAAATTTCCTAGCAACAACGTTGACCGTACCGTACCCACTTTGGTTGCAACATGAATACCAATCGGCAGGACGAGTTCTTGCATTTCCAAACTTTGACTTCAATGATAGTGAAATACTTTTGTGTGTGAAACCCAAGTCGTTTTATTTTTATTCGCTTTAAAAGATATAATATGTCATGTTTTAAATACGTTTTCATTTCCGGAATTGCGTTCTTAACAACCTGTTCTTTTGATAAATTACCCAGATTGGCATATTAAAATTTAATTACAACTAAATTTGGTAACTACAATGGATTTGATGAATTTTTGAACAAAAACTCATCGACCCCAATTTTTTATATTATTAGCAATAATACACGTAATACATAACTATAGTTTTAGTCATATATCTTGAGGCGCAGCGTGTCTCGCATACCAGGGTGCTTCCCCAGGTAGACGATTTCATGACATCAAACAAATATTTGTCGACAAAAAAGAACTTTCTTCACACCCATGATTTTGAAAGTTCAGTCTGTCACAGCCGTCGACCTGTAGAACCACGCTAATTCTCGTGATTGTTGCACTGAGTTCAGAAAAGGTATTCGTTATTAACCATTTTAAACAAAAAACGTACAATCTTTTTGAAATAGACAAAACGGCGATATTATTGAGTAAGTGAAGACTCTTAAGACTATTAAATAATAGAAATGTCGAGAAAAATCACATCTTCTGCTCATCTAAGCAAGACAGTGGAATTGGGAAAAGAGACGACACACACGAACTATGTAAAAACAATTCGACTTAAACGCGTTACCGAAGAAGACATTGGAAAGTTGCTGTGGTCGATTGAGAATTCATTCATAAGAAAAATATCTCTTCACAATTGTCTTTTGGCTTCTGAAAAGCTGAACAAAATTCTTGATGCAATATCAAAAAGCAAAAATATATGGGTAAGTCATTTCCACTTACGCTTTAATTTTTCAATTTGCGTTCAGACAAGGTTGTTGCAAGTCTCCAACTTCTTATTTATCATTCAGTCCCCAACGTGAAATAGTATTCATTAAGACTTTTTAAAATTTCGAACTGTTTCGTTTATCGTGGTATTCCTAATCATTATGTAAAACTTTTAAAGTGTTGTCTGTGGGTATATATTTCTTTGTGGGCAATTTTCGGCAGTGCGCTATACATTCAAACGGTTATATTTGTAAGTGCGGTTGGTACCAGGCTTATTCAGAAACTGTTTGCCTCTTATCGGTTGTGTATCTATTGGTATGGCTATTTGTATATGTCTGTATGTAGACATGAAAAGTCTTAATAAAATTTGAATGTTTTATTGTTCTCACATTAGAGTTTTATGGCTATTTATATTTCAAATAATCACAAGCTTTCGAGTATCGGAGGATGTAATCATGGATTATAGAGCGTCCGAAATCTTTCAATTCGACAAGGTCTACCCAGATTCATAATATATGTTGGTGAGGTTGAAGTTTCGGTTGAAAGATGGAGTAACTGTCCGGGAAAAAGGCCCCGGGATTAAATTGCTATGTTTTAACAACGAATTACGTTTACAACTCGATAATCATGCATTCGACTGCGTAACTAAGATGTGCGTTATATTTTGACCTTGCCCCGAGTCATTATGAGTAATAATGAAAATCCTGACGCATTGGAGATTTTTTATTCACTAAAATCTGCTGACAAACCAATTTTTGTTTCAGGCGCTTTGTCTTGACGTTAGAGGGAATTACTATGACAATGAGTCTATCAGAATATTGTGCCAAGCGGTTGATAAAATATCATCTCTTAAAATCCATAAACTCAACTCAGATGATTTGGAAAAATTACTACAGAGAGTGAGAGATGATAAAGTCAAGGTATAAGCATGAACATAGCTTGATTCTGCAAATTAATACTATTCCATACACATCAACATCAATTAATATCATTATCTCTTTTATACATTATAGCTGTAAGTCACACTTCTAACTTTTAATATTTTTAATAAGTGTCACCACAGAAAAGATTAGCGTTCAACATAAGGTTTATATACGAATTCATAATTGTTGAAAAATTGAAAGGGGAGAAAAACAATTAACCGAAATTAGATGGTTTTCAACCTTTGACTATTTTTCCATAGTAGAACGTCCTGAAGAGACTCGGTATTAGGGCCATCTACAGTCTACACAGCTTAGGTCACAAACGCAGTATATAAATACCAAGCGCCACGAACAAGATGTATACTGCTATGTTCTGTCTAAATATTCCTATCACGTCATTTCAGCTTGACATATTAGATGTCAGCGGAAGTTCACTGAGTGACCCATCTCTGCACCATTTGCGCGAACTCATCAAATGCAGGAAAATAACAACGAAATTAAATCTAGAAGATTGTGAGGGAGCATACCGAGCATTGATAGCAAATGACAAAGATATGTTAAACGAAATTTATCAAAGAAACAAGAAAATCTCGATGAACGCCGAATTGCAATGGCAGCAGGTTAGTCTGAAGAAATCATTGTGTAGTCCCATAGAATATACCAATGCGCAAGATATTGTTCAAACACAAATACCCCAAACTACAGTCGTTACTATCTCGCAAGCGTTTAGTAAAAACCGACAGTTGACCAACTGTCTCACAAACTGATCCATTTTTAAAAAAATATTTGATAGAAGCATTTTGTTGTTTTTTGTGGTATGATATAGAATTTGTTCTAAGCTAAGCAAATGACTCGTTGCCTTGACTGCTTTTTATTTTGATATTTTGCCCGTATAAACTGTATTACAATTTCTATAATTACTTGAATATCTCCAACGTTCTATGATATTTCAATGATTCTTTGTATTCTTCATTCCTGGATAGGAAATGTGAAAATCATAGATACTTTTTGTCGGGTATTTAGCCCATTGTCGATTCTTCTGTATTACATAGTTTGTATACCACCATAAGTAAATCTGCATATTTACTTAGTTCTGTACATACAAAACATTTGTCACTGCTAAGAATCGTAACCGCATTTTGGCAAGCTCGATCCAGCATAACATATATATAAACTGGTATGGCAGCTTTATATTAATTTATGTTTTCATTTTGCAGAATCTAAAGATCAAATGGTTCAGACATTACAACGTGATAAAGGAAAACCTTGGTTCGCAGACGACGGAGGTTAGTAAAGCATGTATAGCGTATAAAAGTCCCTGTTTGGTCCCGTGACGCTAAGGCTTTATTTAACTTTAAACACCGGAATTCGTGGAACTGTTTGAGTGTATGGGTGTGAGTCGTATACGCGCGACAGCAGAATTTCGTGGTTTTCATTAGATTAACGACGAACATATAAAACTTTGTCAATAATAAATTTTGTGTTTAGATACCTTGAATGTTTTTTTATTATCCTTTATAACTTGAAATTGATCCTTTATAACTTTTAAATTATGGTATAGTCTAACATTTGCTTTTTTATTGCGCAAATGACCTGGTCATGAGGCCTTCTCGAGTGGAATACAACCGAGTTAAGTTACTGGGGGTTGATACGTAAACAAATCACGTTTTTTTATCTGAACGCAATTATATTACAATAATTACAATATAATCATTTTCAGGTGACAGAAAATGCCGAAATAAGTCATCAAGTTATTAATAATGGTATGTAAACATTTCATTTGATATTAACCTAACCAGATATTATACAAATTATAGATCTTTTCTTGCAGTATAAACCTCAAATTTCGTGTTCACGTAATTTCAAATTTACATGAACATACATTTGCCAGATCACTGCCACATCAATTAAACTTTTCGTGACTTTGCGACACTTCCGCAATACATTTTCACTTTTATTGACCAGAATTAGCGGCTTATGGCTATTCAATATGTATTGAATTTGAAATAAAATTAATAATAATTAATGTTAACACAAGTAGAAGTTGGATATTAATTACCTCCAATAAGCGTGTAATGTGAATTAATTAAACTGGCTTGGTGAATACACTCCCGCTTTCAATCGCTACATATTCACGAACGATATTTTGTTACGCCTATGATTATGAATAGGCCTCCAATGTTCGGATTTCGCGTTACAACGCCAGTAAACAAAGGTGTTCGAGGATCACGGAATTTAAGCTTTTGGTGGCGCAATCCTCTGAATTCCCATATAGGGAATGGTATGTGGATACAACTTCAGACGTGACGTATGGTAATAAAATGACGGTTCTGTTTTAAACTTTGATACAAAACGTATTGTTGGATGCCCCGATATAGTACAATTAGGATTATTGTGAATCATATATCGAAAATATAACAGTGAGCTAATCTGCCTCAAAAGTTGATAACACATACCTTATTTATAGCAATTTAAAGATACCATCGCTGATACATGTATCAATGTTTATTTTTTTTGTACGATTCATACAGAATTTTTCTGCCATATAGTAATAATCGTCATAGAAAGTTTTTGTGGGATGTATCTTGAATAAAATATAACCGAAATTAATGTAATGGCCATTTCAATATTTTCCACTGAAAGGCCGTTTTATAGGAAAGATTTAAACGGAGCGCGTGGCCCGACTGTTATCACAAAATATCTAAAAAAAAAAGGCCTCCTGAAATATGCGCACCAAGATGGCGCACAACCTGAACTCCGGTTGTTTACCAGGTTAGGGTTCAGGTTGTGCGACATCTTGGTGCGCATACTTCAGGAGTACCAAAAAAATATCGTTTTATGATTATGAAATTTAATGTGTTGCGTAGTTTTATTCAAAACGACAAAATAAACTAACTTTTTACGTGAAAAATTGCATCCTTTTACAGATGACAGTTATAGAACGATTGACTCAGGATTTAGCGGTGATTGTCAATCAGAAATGAGCTTCGAACAGAATGAGGTAGGTTTACTGTGAAGATAAGTTTAAGTTACCTCATAATGGTATCTCACTACTAGACCTATTTATGTCAGATCAATTAAGAATTGTTAAAGTAAACGTTCAGTAGACTCTCTAGGACAAGTACATGTGAAATAACATTTACGTCGTTTAATCAAATAAAGAAAGTAATATTTTTTAAAAATCCAATAAGAAACACAGTATTGTCAGTTCTTGGAAAATTTCTACCAAGGCTTGACAAATCGGACATTTCGCTTTATCAAACCAACGAAGACGCTCCAATATAAATGTTGTTTGCTTTTCTCAACGCCTGTCTTTTGGTCAACAAGAAAAGTATTTCCCTCATTGTACTTCGTATTGACACTGTGAAATTTTTTTTTGACGTGAAGCAGTTTGTACATTGCTCCCATCAGATTCTATCAAAATTACATCTAATGTAAGTGTCGTGCTATGTTTACTATTATTTTCAGGAAATGCATTCACCACCTGTCAAAGCCGAACCCATTAGGACACCAGTGCAGTTCGATCTTCCTATCAAAATCATGTCCCATATATTATTCCAAAACGATCGTGAATTTTCTGTAATAATATGGCCGAACAAAATAAATAGACCAATGGATGGCATCAACTTTTCCGTGGGTATGATGGAGAAATCAGGATACAAAATAATTCATCCTCTGTCAGAATTTGTCGCGATAAACCCCGAAAATCCGGTTTGCCTCGAATGTACCAATAAGGCCGATGTAACGTTCACGCCACCAAGAGATAATATCCGCGATGATTTGAGAGGGATGACATGCAGAAATATCAAATTCAGATTGGATGGGGATTGTTTGGAAGGAATACGTGAGAATGGCGAAGACATTGATATCGTGTACACCATTGGAGACAGTATGATTCCGCTATGTGTCCGTTTGAAGAAACGAGGTAATGTGTTAATTATAGCAATAAGATGTTAATGGTGTAAGGTATTTATAAAGTAATTCGAAGTGAATGGTATACCTAATGCAAAAAAGACAACAATTCTTTTGCATAGCATAATGCAAAGTAAGGTATTTATTTTTTTTATTTAGAAGAAATTAACTTTATTTTGCAGTCGAACACAATACCAAAGAAAGCAAGGAAATCAACATACACATTGGAGATTCTTCAGGTACATAAAACAAACAATATACAATAATTTGTGAAAAATCTTCCAAATACCAACTCTTTAAACTCCATAGACCAATATCGTGACCAGAAGATTAGAATGTGGAAGTACCAGAGTTACTTACCCTGGGGAACACGATTTTAGATCAGAACAGAAAATATTTTCTAATAAATTGTAAGCTCTACAGGGAGGCCTAACAAGGTTTTTATATATATATATATTAATTACGATGATTCTAAACGCAGAGTGATAGACGGTTATCACGTAAGGTAGATGGAGATCTTTGCGATCAAAATGCAAACATTTTTCTTGTCAGTTTCAGCAAATACATACACGGGAAGACACGGAACCACGAACAGCACACAAAAAGACGTCACTAATGTTGCAAACGTACGAGATACAGGTAATTCTAACTTCTCTATTAAGATTCATAGAGTTACATGATGTAAATCTAAGTAAGATAATGTGACAAACACTAATTGTGCGATGATTTTGTTTTATCTACAGCATAAATACGAGATGATGGATTTTATTTGACAAATTCGTCGTTTTTACCAATTTATTCTGGTGCATCTCGAATAGACAGACTCGAAAGTTTGATTCTTGGAATGATCAAAATACGAAGAGAGGGATCCATGCTTCAGTATTTGTACCTGCAGACTGACCGTCCAAGCTGAAGAATCTCCAGCAGAAAATTGTGCAAAGTTTATTTTAAGAGTAAAAATGTCTAAAAAAAGATTGATTACCTGGCCAGCAAACTCTCCGCTTTTTTGAAATTTAAAATATATTATATATATCTTTACCTGAAAGGGACAACTAATGTACGAACTATTTATATTTTTGGAGTCGAATGACAAATTTTTGGTGAATCTACTGTGTTATGGCTTGTAAGAGTTATTCAACGTGACAGGTAAACAAATAAGAAGACAAAACATGAAAAAATTATAATTCAATGGAATACGTTTTACACAACATTTTTCTCAGAACACTTCAATCAACGTTGAATTCAGTGGGGGATTCAGGGGGTTCTCGCGAACCTGTTATTGTTTTAGTTCGGCCTGTTGTTAGCGAGTTCGCTACAAAAGAGAACCCGTTCTTAATCCCATCATTGGGTGAAGTCAAGCAAACGGGTGTCTCGAAAATGTCGTGTCACACTTGTTCCACCTATCCCACTTGTCCAACGTGTCCTTCTTGTCCCACGTTTCTCAAGTGGAACACGCGGGACAAGTGAGACACGTGGGGCAAGCGAGACACGTGCGACAAGTGGGGCACGTGGGACAGGCGGGAAACGCGGAACAAATGGGACACGACATTTTCGCGACACCGCAAGCAGACTGGTAAGCACACAGTTTGAAAAATCAATGACATCTTCCCAGTATTCACATTCAACAAATTATCATGTATACTATTAACTACGATAGCAACAGCTTCCTATCTTTATATGAAGCATGTTTTCGTCCAAGACAAAAGAATTTGACGTTCATGAGTAAATTGTAGGACAATCTTATTTGATATTATTTTGTGAATTCAGTGTAGCTGTAGCAAGGGAACCGGGCCAAATGTAGTAGCAATACCTACCACATGCAAATACGTACAGCAATTTTGATATATTCCTCGCCTTATCATAGATTGCTGTTACATTATTGGACACGGAATATACATATGGATCGAATATTGGGTCATGTCAAACAGCATAGTTGCTCACTAACGACATTCAAGAACGTAATGTTTTGTTATGGCCGCGTGTGAGATGAGTTTTAAACTACCCGCCACTTATTCTTCTGTATTTCTGAGTTGCACTGGGCAGTAGCTTCGTCACATAGACCAATGATATTCAATCGATGTTCCGTGAAACACTGTTGTTCCGTGAAAGACCTACAGGTGTTCCGTATCAAATTGTTGTTCCACAACCTTTTACTGATTGACATATTATTCTATTCCATAGGTCCACTTTGTGTCAAAGAACCATTACTTTAATTGGACCTGATCACTTAAATTTTAAAAGAACTAATGACTAATTCTATCTTATGGCAGATTTTCGGAACATTTTTTTATTACTATCAGGTAAAATAAAACTCTTTAAAAACCAAAATTTGTATTGCGGTATTTTATTTATACCTAAATTTTAGACCCATTGCAAAAAACTAACAAATACTAGGTAGTTTGACAATGTGATTTATAGTGCATATCGCTACTTATATCAGACTGGTATGAAACTAAGAATCGTTAAAAAAGAACTATACGTGTTTGTCCTACCGAAATCCCCGCCAGGAATAAGATTTGTTCTCATCGAAGCAAACCCTTTCATCACTCCAAAATGCATTGTTATTTTCAACTATACGAACGGCCCGGCCCGTCTGTCTTACATATAATTATCATTGGCATTTTATTGCTTTGTGGCATGAGAATGTAATAAAAGATCTATAAATTGTACTTTTGTACAATTTCTTTCTTTATAGCTCTGAATTTGAATCGAGTCAATAAGTCGTCATTGGTCTTATCGTTATTTCTTTTCTATACTAAATGATATAACTATTAGGTATAATTGCGTTCGAAAAATTGAAAATTTTCGTTTGGTGTTCCGTAAAGAACTTGAAATATGAAAAGTTCTCCGCGATACCAAAATGGTTGAAAAACACTGATGTAGACCGATCTAAATGACTTAATCACAAGAGGCCGCTAGTTACACGGACGATAAATTTGGGTAAACACGCGCTTCGTCGGAAAGAACTGCTGTTGCTTATTTACCAGCATGTGTGTAGTTTAATAAAATAATATACGCGATATTTGAGCTAAAAATATGGTAAAGAATGTTGAGTTTTTTTTTTCAGAGAGATTGTCTTGCGTTATAATAATGTTGCTTTCGTGGAAGTTTAGTGAATATTAATCGAAAGGGATTTAATCTTAGATAAATCGATCGACAACCGCAGATTACTTTTGCCGGGATTAAAACTTTTGATTGTTCCCAAGAGATGTTCACATTTAATGAGGTTAGGCGAGTACCAGATACTGGCTTCCAATAACTTTTCTTTTAGGAAGATGCACTCTTGATCTCGCCGGGTTACCTTACAACTGACTTCTGGGTAATACCGACATAGGAAAAGTATATATATTTTAAAAATATTTTGGGAAAGGCAATATCGGTAGATGATAATAGTAAGTAGGTAAAACTTCTCAATAACATTTATAATTTGTTTTCTGGGTACTCCCATGGTACGTGTACCAGGTTAAGATTAGGGCATAATTTTATTCCGATTTCCGTTATTTTAGTTCTATTACGAGTTCGGGAACTGTCTGTGTTAGTCAAGTGAATATACGCCCTGCCCATAGGTTTTAGTTCCTTTACACAACTTGGTGTAAATTAGGCAAACAAAATTAGTCACCTCCATAGTGGTACACATACTTCTTGAGCGCCGTTTGCTGTAATGTGCTTGGAGGTAACGTAAAATATCTTTGCAGCTTGGGTCTTAATGTTAGCTCGGAACTTAAATTCCTTTTTAGCTAGATGTAAGCTCTACATTACAAGAAGACGTAACAGGGTATTTCGGGCTTTTAAATTCACTTAGAACATATGAAAAGTGATGAAGGCAACGTTCGCTTTACGACATATAGGTTGTGGGTAATCTGTTTTCGGGTCCATTCGATAAAAGGAAAGAGCGTACAGTTAGGTTATTCTTGACAGCCGTTCAATAAAAATTGTATTTCTATATAGCCATTCATATGCAATACATTATAATTGGTTTTTGAAGTTTCAGGCAGATTTTGAGATAGTAGATAACAAATTACCGTAAAAGCTTCCGTTGACAGATGATCATCAGAGGTCAGTCGACATTATCTTGGGCTGCGGCTTATATGTATTGATAAATATAATGGCTAAATATGACATGTAAATAAAATATTTTCCGTTTCATTGTGAGTTCACATAAATTGGCAAGTCAATAATGATCAAAAAAATTACTTTACACGTGACTAATAAAATCATGGCTACATGGAAAAGTAACTACTTGTTACTTTCGCAGAATTGGTGCTTAATAAAATGGTATGGCTTAGCTCAGCATAACTAGCTTTTTAAAGCGTTATGTGATATCGCGATATTTTTCAAATATATATTGTGGTTAGTACGGTGACAGGATCGCTCGTATGTATAATGTAATGACAAATCAAGATTTTTTTCTGATAAAATATCCATCCGAGCGAGATGTATCTAAACACGCACGGAATATATAGATAGAATCAGTCAATTCAATCTAATTAATATATAGTAAGAACAATTAACAAGAACATTTTGGAACAGTAAACCTCGGGGATTTCACAGGATACCGAAACTGCGTAATCGATAGTTTTCTATACATGACAGAGAAAAGTTTTGTTGGATAACTCCGTATAAATACCACGGCACCCTGACAATCAATAACACTATGATGAACATTGATTAGTTTTAATAGGAACATTTGGTAGTGGAAGGTCGACACAAGGTCATATATTGAACTCTCGATCTGGGTGGTATAGATTTATCCACTCCCAAACTGTTGTTACTACTCCGATAACAATTTTGTCTGGTGGACTTGTCAGGTCCTAACTGACTCTTATTTGTTATTACGCTCAAATGTGTTAGTCTTTTTCAATTTTAAATTAGTTGCATAACACTAAAACGTACATACAATTCTAAAATCTCTGATTCTTATGATCCCACATAATTATCATTTCAGATTATATCTACTATTAGTTGCTATTTCCTGATGACGATTTCTGAATATGCAAATAGTCAGGAACATTTTCACATTTACATAATGTTCAATAAACTTACTGCAAACACAGTCGTATTTGTTTTCGAGTGTATTGTTAATCTCTTAATGTTCTTATCCAGAATTTATTCTTTTTCGAAATAAATGAAATTTCCTATTTATGTCCCATTTCACAATACACAAAATATAAGCTTGTATTTGACATAAGGTATAGTCGATGAATATGTAATTAACGTAATATATGCATTGTTGTGTAAAAAATAGATTATAGGAATTCACTAGGTATCACTCCATCTCAGATGCGGCTAATTAATTCTCACAAATTTTTGAACGTTATGTCCAGTAGATTAATTTACTTCATAAAAAGGAAGATGGAAAATTAGTTAAAATTAAGTAAAATTGAGTAAGCTTTAACATACTAACTTCGAAATATAACATTCATTAATATGTGAATTTGAAAATCTTGTTCGTACAATGTTTACTCTTGATCATAATGAATAGCTTCAAATGCATTGGCATCGTGTAAAACTGTTATAATTCATGGTTTTGTTTTAGTTAGGCAATATTGTAATGCGTACAAGTCAACTGTTTTGTGATAAATAATTTATCTATTTGTCCGCTTGTCATTTCAGCCCCATTTAACATTAAGTCACTTCACTTCGGATACTCAATAAAAGAGATCGGGAAAAGGCAGTATACCTCAAATGTGGGGATACCACTTGGCGCGCAAAGAGAGGCTTGAACTGAGCTGAGAAAAGAGACTTTTGAATCGACAACAGACATGGCGGAACAAGCGAATAGTCGTCTACATATTTCCACTACGATCATCGCAATCATGTTGGGCATGATGGTTCTAGATGCATACCTCGTCCAGCAAAATACCGGAAGCCGACGCACAGGAGTCCTCGTCATGTTATTGATTGGAGATGTCTGCCTACTTTTTGTGCTAAGGTAATTTAAAGTTTTTTGCGGTATCGACCACTCGCGTGCGACGTTCGACGTTTTACGTCGACGTAATTTCGACCTACAATGCATAAACGTCAACATTTCGATTGGACGATCTATTTATATCAAAATAAGTTGACGGAAGTTTCACGGCAATGATTCAAACATACCGTAACAAATCCTATTTTTGTCCATACCACCTGAAACGAACTACGTCGTTTTCGAGATAGCGGATCCCAGAATTGCATGCTTTCGCACCGAAAATTACACACGTGTATGTGACTATGTGACAGTCCATAATTGCGCACTTCACCTAATTGTGTTTTAAAACATTAGCATAGTTAACAAAGTGTCAGCAATTTTGCAACTAGACAGTACCTATCTCGTAGGAAACCAGCCATTTAAAAAAACTCTGTTTCAAGTGCTGAATATACGATATAAAAACACGATTCTGATTTTGAATGAAAGTTTTAGTAAAATAAAATTTCTCAGAACATTTATTTTATCAATGTAACACGACATACAATTCAACAAACAAAGATGATAAATCGTTTTAGTATTACGTTGTTAGAATTATTTGTCTTGTTGTTACGCTTTTCTCTATAATTACTGCACCAATTGCATTGAAATTTCAGTGGCTGAACATTGTATTTGCCTCTAGAAAGTTATCACTTTTCTTTTTTCGAAAACTTTTGTGGGCTCTATGGGATTTTTTTTTTGACCAATGACGTCAAAATTGCAAATTACGCACCCTGGGCGGTTCCGCGTTCAAATTCGTTGCTATCTGGTGGTCAGACGAAATCTTACATAGTCTGCGGTATCGATAGTCTGTACTGTGCTATCGTGTCCCTATATTTGAGCACTGCCCTCTTGTTCAAACAACAATGTGTCTTTTCGACTCAAAACCATAATAATTTTTTGATGAAACAGACCATCCATTTGAAATACCCGTTCAACAATACTTAATTCGGCGCCACTGTGGTATGCGGTCACTTGCTCAACGTGATCTCAATGGACCTTTCCCCGACCTTTGGCCCCCCGAAAAATTCTTCCTATACTTCACCATTGCAAAATTTTCGGGGCTATTTTAAGAGTGCTTTTGCGAGTTGGCGCCTGTAAAATGTGTTTCAAACCATCATTATGATTCATCGCATATTGTTTTTTTAAAAGTACCGGCAAATAATTTTAGCCTAGTCTATCACAGCTATTTCTACACTAATTTTTTTATTACTGCAATTAAATTAAAACTCCTAGGAATACAGAGTGATCATTGAATTATGTGATTTATATTTAAGTTTCCGAAACACAACAGAAAACTAATGAATAGAGTTCAAAAACGCGAAAACGAGGTAATGTTTACGACCACGCTTGAAAATCTGTCTGAGCGGATGCGAAAAGGGAACATTGTTACGTCACTTTATGCATCTTGCTGATTGGCCAATGTCACGAAGTAAACAAGGAAGTCGATGATCGGGGAAAGGTCCATCGCATGTAGACATACAATTCGGTTCCGAACCCTGACTAAAAGCACTGAGCTCAGAGATTGAACTGACCCTAGAGGTCGTATACCAAAGTAGCACCCTTAATTTTATTTTTCAAATTTTCAACTATAAAGAACGAATGGTTGTGCGATTGAAACTAGTACTCCGGGCAGCTAAATACAGAAATGTAGAAACAGTATAAATATCAATACCATGACGATGGTAACGCTTGATCTGTGATATTACGTTATCCTGTCGCGTTATCAAGTCGTGGAAAATGATTGAGAGCTTGGTCGCTTTACATTAAGGCTGCAAATTATGTATTTGAGACATGATTCGGGGTGATAGAATACGCTGATCTATCAGAAGGTCGCGTTTTATTAAGATCGTACGGAACGCACTGTCAAAGTATCTAAAATCAAACCATTGTATCATCTTGCATTATCTTTATTTTAATTTAAAATGTGTATCTCTTTCCTTATATGCTAATTGACTTACACATCAAACCCTAGCTGTAACAGCTAGGGATGGGACGAGTCCGGTATTACAGAGATTCGACAAATCCGAGTAATAGGTCTAGGACTCGAATCGAATCTGCCGAGTCCGTGACGTCACAATGAAAAAACAGAAAAACACGTTTTGAACATGCTGCAGCAACATGCGCTCACAAACATACGTCGTAGCACATATTTTTTGTCTAATGATTCCACAGGTAGCTGTTGAATCATTTTAGAAGTATGTTTTCTTTTTTTTGGCGACCAAAACACAAACGTGAACGTGGGTCAATGTGTACCTCGGTTGTGAACGGGATTTCGGGCCCACTACCTTCCGTTATTTATGAGCGGCTATTTTGAAATTCTTACATGTCAAAGCTTTTGACTACGATGCTTCCCATAATTTTATATACTTCTGTAGCCGTAAACTTATTATGTCGCGTGCGCAAATGGTATAGAGATGCCACTCGTCCATACAATGGTACATCTGCTTGCAATTTTAAAATTCTCCATGCTTTCAATTGCTTCTTTTTTAGGGAAAAGATTGCACGTAATGAACTGAATTTGAAAGAGGTATTGATGAAATTACCCCTTGTGTTGATTCAGAGCACGTTTCATTTTTAGGCGATTCGAAAACTCAAAAATATTGCGCCAACACATATTTTATTGTTCACATGTATACCAAATAGGATAGTTAGTTTGAAGGCGACTGGCGGTGATATCATTGTTATGACTTATAATATAAGCGACCAATAGGTTTCAACATGCGGTATATTATCTTATATTAGAGTGTTTATGATACACAAGTGGGATTTTGTTACAGATCTAATGTTGAATTTTAACTAGCTAAGGTATGTAGTGAGATTGATAGAGGTAAAAGTGTAAACATAGGCCTAAACTAGTAAAAACAGAATTGATTACAGACTCGGTAAAATGACGTGGACTCGAAATCAAATCCGAGTCCAAAAAATGCGTGGATTCGGCTCGAAACCGAGTCCGGATCCGAATCTCGGCCTATCCCTAGTAACAGCGTATAGTAGGCTGGAAGCAGGCAATAGTTATGACCGCGCCCTCTGCAAAAGCAATTTTACGGGCGATAGTAAGTCTAGAGAATTGAAAGTGTAGTTTACAAGCCTTACGTACACAGCATAAATAAACACGCTGACCTACCTATACACGATTATTGGACACGAAATGGACCTATGAGATGTTATTAGTATTCTTCATTTTGTTGTGAAAAAATCGCCTTTCTTTTTAACTACCGGATTAATTGGTTTGATATTTTTAGTCGTTAAAGATTGTTGTTGTCGTTCGAAGGCTATCTTTTATATATTTCCAAAATTTCTGTGTGCTCCATTGTATTCGTTTTACGATTCGACGTTTTGTATGACTACGTCAACAAAATTAAAAATTACATGTAGCGTTCCACGTTAAAACTGAAAGCGTGATTAATCGTCACGGGATCTAGAAAAGCTGGGACAGTCCAGGTACTGATGCCCGTAGCTGTTCGGAAGTTCCAGCTTCGTTTAGGATATGATCTAAGGCCAGCCATGACTAGGAAGACCTTCAAAGTTCGGATTCGGAAATCGAAAAACTGAACTCTTATAAAATTTCAACAGTTTATTAGCTTCAAATACACAATTATAAACCGGCTTCATACTTTTTTGCAAGGGGCTCGTGAAAAACCAGATGTTCCGCTTGTTATTATAAACTTTTACAGTTAAAAAGTTATACTGAGAACGCATCCGATAAAAAAAAGTATTTACAAATTTAGTTTTTGTTTACTTGATAAAAATATATGTTGATATATACTATAAATTATAAGTACGAATAGTCGTTATTTATCGTAACATGACCCGACTATGCGTCACGTAATGCGCAGAGAGAATTTAAAGCTTAGCGCCATGTTGGTGGAAAGTTTGAGTTTTTCAAAATTGTTTTATTCGTCAACGTCAATTTGAAATGACATGCAACAAGCGACGAACTAATTAAGCAACATGGTTTTGCCATCCATTGAAATGTCCATGTTGATGCACCTTTAACCCAACATCAAATTAAAGTTTAATATCTAATTGCATGTACATACTTGCGATAGTTCCCCATGTCATTTGTTATCAGACTAATATACACCTCAAAAAGATGTACATCCGACATCACAATTTCTGATGAAAAATTTATGACGTTATGCATCGGGTCATTTAGCGTAGGCTTTAGTATATCTGACCGCGATCATATCTTGATTTGGAGAGTGGGGGGATGCGCATATATGAATAATAAATTATATTAAACAATGAAAATGTAATTTCATATGCACGTAATCGGCATCATGAATAACAGCAATTATCGTGACTGATATGAAGCGAAAACATCAATTTGTTTGATGCCTAACAGCGCCAGAGGTCATACAAAATACAAGTGTTGATGGAAATATCAAAATAATCAAACTAATTTTTTTTATATTCATATCAGTTTTTGAGTAATTATGGATAATCGAATTAAAAAGTAAAATGTGTCATAATTATTTTAGACAGTAGGCCGACCTACCACGAAAACACACCAAATGCGTATATAGGCTATATAGTAAAGATCCGCAGCATGAACGTAATATTCGTTGAGTTCGTTATACCTTAACATTCAATCTTGCATTATCGTCCAACGGTTAGTGACAGTAATCATATTCTGCATAATTTATAACAACACCACAGGCCTCAATTTGAAAAGTTACTTCATATTGAAGTTAGTCTTGGAAAAAGTGAGTTCACATCGATCTATTTCGTAGATGAAATGAAAATTTTAGCATTCTCATGAACTGTCGTACAGTTAATCCGTTGGGTGTATAGTTAGTTGATCACTTACTTCATTTCAAAAAAATTTATGGAAAAAAACGACCTTCTGCCAAATAAGATAAACCTGAAATGGGATTTTGAACTAAATAATAGCTAAATAAAAAGTGTACAAAATAACATTCGTTTGTTTACTCAGAACAAGCTGTGTGCAAATTAATTTTTATTATAACTAACAAATTTTTATAGACGAAGGGCTGGTAATTATTCGGAGTCTAAGAGCGCCAGACAGATTAGGTAATATTCGTGTAGTACCACCTTGTAAAGTATAATCGGCCACGTTCAATCATAGTACTATTCGAGGAGATTATGGCTCATTTTTCTATTTCGGGTTACCTGATATAGTTATCACAACCGCCCAGATAGACCACGTGGAAGATAATGCAGTTGCCTAATTTTTGCAATATCGACCATGAATTATTGAAAAAGAAGAAATTCGAAGAAAACGGATGAAATTTCAATTGCCCCGTTCGCGTAGTAGCCAAAACAGACATGGGTAAGGTCTAAATGCCTATCTAAGACATTATCTACATCTCTTCTATCCATAATAATTAAGTTTCAAATTTAATGACGCATTAGGAAATAATTATTAAAAGTCCTTACTCAAAATCGGAAGCGGTATAATAAAATATAATTTCCAGTTTACTTAATTTAGTGTCATATAACACCACCAACAAACACGTTAAGTGTCGGTATTGTTTATGCAATTCGCATCCGTAAACGCTAATGATATTTTGGGCCAAATAAACAAGCACCCTTACTTTGAATCATCCAATTTCACTTAAATATTGGACAAAATATATCGTACGTTAAATTTTTCCGTTAAATATGAATGCAACATAGCTATACCAAACAGCGTTGGGTAAACAGAAGTGCATCAGATCTATCCAAATATTAACAAAACCCGAGACTAAATTGCGTCCAAATCTAAATATATATCGGCTAATGTACTCCCTTAAAATATTGAAATTTGAAAAAAAAAATACTACTTTTCATCTACACTCCGAAAACGATCACAAATATTCGATTTTCAATCGGAGTATTCTTTGGCTTCAGCTTTTTCATATTCTGCGAAATTTCTTTACCTGGTAAACTGTGTAATGTTAAATACTAACTAGACGGCTGGATAATAAATAAAAATATGTGAATAAATCTGTTATGAATAATTCACTTAATAGTTTTGGCTAAGTCTGGAAAATCATAATCAGAGGTACCGGATAAATATACAGTTGTATTAAAGTGCTTTTCCGACACGTCGAAACTGAATAAGCAGGTAGAAATTCAGTGTATTTTCACGTGAATTATATCAATTATACATCACTTACATGGTTACCTCAGTCGAAAGCAGCAACAGAGCACGGTGGTTAACATAGAATTGTACTTTGAAAGTATTCCATATAAGTCGCCGTGGTTTTGTCTTGTAAAAAGCATAATGTATCTTTGGCTCAATTTGTAGTTATATATATGTGTTTTTACTTGGAAAGACTATTTTCAAACGAAAATTAATATATATTTTATCAATTTTCAACCCACAAGTCAGTTTTTGTGTTGGGTTCACGTATGAGATTGATAAATCCGTAGAAAGGCCCGAATCCATTCTTGTACTTCATTGCCGACGTATTCAATCATGATATTGTGACTCACAATATCTCTAGTGATTGCCATTTCTGAAGGAGTCTTGTATCGATAAACGAAACTTTATACAGTATATACCATCTAAAGAAATATCCCTTGAAGTATATTTGAATTGCATCCGATTTTAATATCATTCCAAATGTTTGGGATTATCGAAAATCTTGTAACATCATAATGCTAGTAAATTCACTATAAATAAATAACGAAGAGATTATTACCGACTGAATATGATCACATATTTTGACAGGTATGTCGGCGTATGGGTCGGTACAGAAGTTCGATCAATGAAGAGGGGATGTTCTATGGCCGAATGGTTCCTACTGATATTTGTTCTTGACATTAAAATGTATTTCGTGCAAGAGAACGTGAGGAAAGAATGTTTCACGGAAGTCGAAAAGGCGATCGAACAAAGTTTGGCTGTTATCGAAGAAGAAAAACCCGCTTCTATTTTCCAACCAGAGCTAGTATTTTCAGGAAAGGAGAATCTCTCTACGGAAGAACTAATGCTGGCCTATGCACAAATTGGTGTTCGCAGTGTTTATGGCAATATATTGAAGACGTGTGATTATGACATGATAACGAAAAAAACACTAACATTATTCCAAGCTGTTTTTATACCAGGTTTCTACCTTCTTCTCCTTGGAGCCGATTATCTTGAAGGCGTTTCAAATCTGCGAGAGCTTGACGAAATAAAAATGAGAGCATTCTGGGTTGTAGTCGACCTCCTAGACTTGTTGGATTTACAATCAAACATGTGGGAATCAAATCAAGGAGAGCTACCCTACATCACTGTTGGATTCATATATTTTTATTGCTATATTATACTGATCGTTTTACCCCCACTGTCTCTAGCCGAAATGAGCAAACGAAACCAGGTGAGTGAACGCGTGACTGGATTTGCATTATGGGTAATATAATCTGCACCAACAATGGATGCCTCGACATGTTTAAAATATTTCTTTTTCATGAAACTTTGGCCAGGGTGCCTCGTGTGTGGCTGCTTTAACTTAAATCATATACATGAAAGTATACCCTAACGAGTTTCTCGGCATCCATATACTTTTAAGTGCTCTATCTTGTTGCGGTTGTGCATATTGGTTATGAAACACGCAAGTTATCAAATTATTATTTAGTAGTATGGGAATTAACTCAATAAGTGTTTTAATTGAAAATCAATGCCGCCCGCATTATTACAAAATGTTGCATACGGATGCAAAAGTTCACCTAGGGACATAACAGCTATATTTCAACCACTTGTTTTTTCGTGCAATCTGAAATAGAAATTCAAGTCACATGTGTAGTCAAAGCTGATGGTTTCCACAATTTCAATAGTATAAATATTTGACTTTGGAATCATCGTTTTGATCAATATTCTACAGAGATATAATTAAGAAGTGAAACTGCTTTATATATGAGTCATGACCGAATATTTACTACTTACTTCCGAATATTAACTTTACTTATATTTACTTTATCGATTTCAGTCCAGACCTCATGAAATGCTGATCTATCTTTTGGCAAGTTTTGTGACTATTAATCTAGCAACGACAGCAATTAGGTTGGTTTTACTGGTGAGCAACAGATTTGCTGGAGTTTCATCTATATTCATTGGAAAGAACGTTGTTTGCATTTTTCTCAAGGTGAGATTCATGGGCTCTCTCATTATTTATTATTTAATTCGAACAATAAACGGCAATTGTCTTTTATTCATTTACTTCCAAATGCCATTGTATTCTGTGATAAGATGCCTGTTCATTAGTTGTAAAAATATCGGTGATTATATATATATATATATATTAGTATATATACTGTGGAAATCCCAACACATGCTTGGAATTTAGTATGGATTTGCATATTTATCTCGAGGGGAGAGGAAAGGTTGTGAGACGACTCAATCATTATTATTTGGTTTTATTACTTGTCGAATCACTTTCAAGTTACAGTTTTTTTTACCATATGCCAAGTGATCATCATTCCGTTATTTGACCACATTGCCAAATCTCAGCGATTTCCAGGTATAAAACTTGTTCTTTCCTCTGTGTGTGGCATTAAGCGCGCAAATCGGATTTAGAATTGATTTTTTCCCCATTAATCCTTTCTTTCCCCGCTTCGTATTTTAAAGTTTATGCAATGGTTTTTCTTTAGTCAACGAAACTTCTGCAAATCTACCTCGTGAAGAAGAAAAAAATTCGATTTCATCGTGATGATGAAACTACATTTAAGTTAAACGATCTGAAAAAGGATGAAAGAAATCAAACAACACTAGGGGAACTGGAAATTGGAAAAGATATTGTGACTGTTGATACTCAAAATATGAACCGCAAAGATGGCAGTGTGAGAAGAAAACAATCTGACGGCAACATTCCAGGAAAAGATCAAAAGTCAATGTGGTGCATTGGTATTTCTAATGAAGAAGAACATATGAAATATCCTAGAAATAGTATAAAAGAGTGCAACACATTCGTTACAAACCTAGGTAAATATTCTTCCCCAACAGTTGTATCTCATAAAACAACAAGTTCTGACGAATACCACATGGACTACGCGTCGGGTTGTTCGACATGGACTCCCGGTTTTCTTAATGCTGCAAGAAAATCTGCTGCGGAGTACAGAAGTATGGATGAAATACTTAATAACAATTTGTCCCCAGACAATTCAGCTGATGCCCTTTCAAGAAAAATGTCACGTAGTATATCGGCAAGACTTGATAACATGTTCCCTGATGGAAATGGTGAAAAACGAGTCAGGTTCCGGAAAGAAAAATTGAGCCCTGTAAATTCTGAAGAGCACGAAGCAACGCATGAAACACTTTTGAATGAAACGAAGGTGCCAGAAAATGAAACAGGGGGGATGATTAGAATACCAAGTTTGCTATCTTCCGATTCCATCCATCCATATTCTTCCACCGATAATTCAACGTCAACAACTGATTGTGGCTTACATATGAAAAGCATAAAGGAATGGAACTCATCGGTTATGAATCACCTCGAAGCACTGCGGAACAACTTGCGACAAGATTCACCCATGCATAATGACAAGAACGAAAAAGAACGTGACGATTTGATTCCACTAGAATTCCAGAACGTACAATCTTCCGATACGAATATAGCAGAAGATGAAGAAGACCAATTTCCTTTCAGGATACCATCACCACTTCCCGATTCAATTCCTGATCCACAATGCAATGACGTGTACGACACCAGCAATCAAATATTTGGATCTATAGGTTCGTTACGCTCAGAACTGCTGAGTCCATTTAGCCCAATTGCCTCAGCAGTGACTTCATCTCCATCAGTAGAATCGGGGACTGCACCGTCAGCCACCACAAGTGGCATACTACCACCTCCAATGGAAATCAATTCGACCAATTTTATGCAAACAGGGCCAAATTATTTTTCAAAAACTATCATGCTAGGTCTTACAGACAACAGCAGTACTGCGTATCAAGAGAACGGTCTGGAATTACCAGACGAAAACTATTTTCGTCGACCGTTGACACAATATCAAAATTCGATTGATAGTGGTCATTTGTCTGATACAACGCCGTTTCTAAAACGGGACAATTCTTCTGGTTTGATGCGTAAACTGGTAAACACGGCATGCCAAACCAATATGACAAACACAACAACGTGAGGGGAAACAAACCAAAAAGGGAGTGGAATGTTGCAAATGATGGAGATGGAAAAATAATTGATAACATATTATCTACCTAACGCATACCAACTTCTAACGCAGAACTGTAAATCGACTAATTTCCAATGTCCAAAATCGAAACTGCAAACCCGATTTGAGAAAATTTCTTTCCGAGGCGAAGTTTCTTGCATTGCAATAACGGATTGAATGCCATCAAATATGGCATTGTATGATGAATCTTTCCACAATGATGATACATTGAATGATATGAATAACGTTTGTATGCTTCTTTAAAATTCAGACACGAGCTTGAACCAAGCAGTACGGCACACAACGCACTAAACAGAATAGTAAAATAATGGCTTGACCTGTGAAGCAAGACATATATAAAGTTGCTTCATTGACTTAGCATTAATGTTTGTTATAAAATTTTACTACTTTTTATTTTTTCTATTATTATTTTAACGTTATATAGTTACCAAGCTCCGTTTTATATAACCCATACTACACTTCATAAACATTTTATTACAAAATTATTCCATTGGGTAATCCAATGCTGAAATTGCTTCATTGACTTAGCATCAATGATTGTTATGAAATTTTACTATTTTTTATTTTTCTTATTATAATTTTCACGTTATATATTGTTACCAAGCAACGTCCTATAAACCCATATTACACTTCATAAACTAAATTTTTCTTCATAAAATAAATTTTTTTCATAAGATGATTCCGTTGGCATATCTGTATAGTTGAATAAAAACTTCATTGCTGTCTGTGCGTCGAAAACTTATTTTAAAGTGACTGGGTAATTGATTTTCAGTTCATAAGTTTAATGATCAATTACACTTTTGTATTTGTGGGGGCTAGTTTGACAATTTTGCTCAATTTCAGCTGGTAATAAAAATGTGGAAATAGTGTTCGTATATTATATAATAGTTATTTATTTTACTGGCATGCAATTTTCTATTCGTTTTATTTTACATTGATTCGTGCCAGCAATAAAATTTTGCATTACTATATATGTCTTTTAATAGCATCGTTAAGTTGCTAAAGGAAACCACGTCAGGCTGCCAACATAGGTCGAAATTGAAAAGAGAAATCTCTTATAAGGGCACTCCAAAAGTAGATGTACCAATATGGAGGTAACTAATTCTGTTTGCCTATTTTACATCAAGTTGTGAAAGGGACTGAAACCTATGGGCAGGGGGTATATTCCGACAGTCCCCGAACTCGTAATAGAAATAAAATAATGGCCTTACCCTAACCCGGTACGCACATTACGGGAGTACCTTTCTATGACACTATGCGCTGAAAAGACTACTGGGAATATAAACATATAAACCAGTTGAAATAGGAACTACACTTCTTCATAAAGCCAATACAAAATCGTCCAAAGGGTGCATTTCACAACATCTGAAGTCAGTCGAACAAAAAGTATCAATAGGTTTTGCTATTGAAATAAAAGTAGTATGTAGCATTCATAATCAATCTTCACGGAACAAACATAAGAACTCGTGTCATAGTTACCAACAGTCTGGTAAAACTTGTTGATGTATAAAATACGTGAATTGAATTACTATAGCTATCATATATTAAGTGTCAGATTGCGAAGCCTATTGTCATATACTTCAACAATAAGTCTTGTATTATTCGCCAACAAGTTATGTCAACAAATCGCGCGTTGTGGTGTCGCTTTTGTCCAACATATCTGCACTGATTTTGGCACTATATATCACCATTTCCAAAGCTGGACCACTCACGGAATGTTTCAACCAGTGTCTCCCGTAATTATGGATGTGCAGCACTTTCCAGATGTTTCGAATGTTATTTCTATCAGTTACTTTGGTACGATTAGCAAAGGAGTGTTACATCTAAAGCTTGATAATAGCTTTACTGAAACGATTCACGGGTGAGATACATTCAAAGGGATGTTCAGAGCGGTATTTTTGTAGTTTGGATATTTGTCGTATATCCGATACGATCTGAGTGAATCACAGTAGATATTGCGAAGGGAAATACGATTTGTATTGAGAACACTACACCAATTTCCCAATTAAGATTACGCGTACCGCAATTCATAATTATCAGGCATGAAGCGTTTTGTGTATTGTTCTGAAACTACAGTAACATCTAATTAAAGTATTGTATAACTGTAATATATTATAAGCCTGAATAAAAATGTCTACTTCAATTGCTGCCTTGCCGGCATATAAGACCACAAAGGTAAACAGAACGAAGGCAAGAGCCGACAGAACAATATTTGGAACTACACTTGATAACTCCAATAAAGCGTCAAAAATACTCAAAGACGAAGGAGGTAGGAAATTGACAAAGATTTTCTTTTCCAAGCGAACATATAGGTTATAATACGGGTTAATTAGAGTTGGTAATTACTCGAATGTTCTTATTTTAAAGGTGATTTTATTGCAAAAACGTTACAATGAACTTCAGCGCATCAGCGGTATTGATACCATATTTGGAGCGATACTATATCTAGCGATAACTACTCAGCACATAATTGCTAAAATGAAATATGAACTGTGAGTTCGGAATAAGATTTGAAATACAAGCACTAGAATCAACTATTTAGTTGAGATAATGATTAAAAACTATATCGATATTTGCTATCTACTGAAGAACTCTTTGTCACGTATTTCCTCTTATGACAATGCTTTGTTTAGAATTTTTTTTACCAACGCATAGGTAATTTAACAAATGAATTTTCTAATCTCAAAGTTAACAAATTACTATTTGACAGCACAATCAGAGGCCGAACGTCTTTTCGAGGATCGTTACAAGAAGTGGAGAACACCGACCCCCTCAAAGCAGGCGTTATTCAATGTCGCGTGGGGTATCAAGGATTATTCACAACCCGAAATAGGTGAAGAATTTGCAAGAGGCTACAGTCGAGCGAGTTCTTACAGCAGAATCAGCAGCGTTGAATTAAATCTCGGTGACAAGTTAGATGAGCCCGAAACCAATGAACCAGATTCCAACAAAAAAGCAATCCCACAACCGAACCTAGTTGCTTATAAGAATCTTTACGGAGTATACAACGTTTCAACTGAAAAGCACAGACCCGATAGCACCCCAACAGATTGCAAACCAAGTCTAGGTAACACAAAAACGAAAAAAACAAAAGGATTCGCTGACGAAAATCAAATTTCCCGGCGCTCGACTACACCATATAACCGCCGCAGAAGAGCATCGAGAATGAATTCACGGAATTTGGAAGAGGAGCTTTCAAAATATCCAAGAAAGTATTCCTCGGCATCAGGAAAAGTTGTCCACGTACCAAAATTTCACTTTCCAGGTCAACGAAATCATATGAGAACAGCCAGTCTTAAAATAACTGAAACTGGTGCTAAGGATCTGATAAATGCCGGATCAATAAATAAGGTACCGTTACAATTAATAAAATATTTGTTCCATTAAAATATTTTTTTAATTATTCACGATTTATATATATATTAGTATAAAATTACACCTTGTCCATGAATTTCAACTACTTATTATCTTACGCATTATGTGAATAAAACCTGCGATCCAGTTGTTGTAACATTCTCAATTTTCAGTTGGGACTAGGCAACACTCTCCAGTACAACCATGAATCTTTCAAGAAAAGGGAGACGCCCGGCCAATATCGAGACCATGGAAACGTATTTTCACTCGGGCAGCGAGGAAATACTGTTACCACAAACCGAGAAGTTACAGGACCGGGGGGATTTTACAAGATGAGCACTCCCGAAAGAACTTTCAATGATAGGCATTCCACTAAAAGTGATGGTGGAACCGTGTATTCAGTACCATATGACCCGTCATCCGATGTTCGGCGAACCTACGACGCAGCAAGACGAAATACAAAACCCAAGGTATCATATAATATACTTGAAAATTTGTTTTCTTGATGATCTAAATTCTAATATGTAGTCGGGAGTTTGATATGTAGTCGGAACTGTGTTGACTGTAATGCAACCTAAGGCACATTGACGCTTACAGACTGTTTTATATGTTCATAACAACCATCAAAATCAAACATTTGCGATTTAAAACTAAGAATAGCTTCATTTCAGTTCAGTCTAGTCCGTAGTAGCCTTTAACTATTAATTTTTGATCACCTTTGGGTGTCGCTGCTTGATAACCAGCTTTGGTTCCTCGCGGCTTCCCTTCCCCAGTGAAATGTGTATTTAATATTATTCGTCTTAATATTGCATGTTATTTTTTCTTACCGGATTGAAAAAATAAACTTGACTATGACTATACCTACCTATGGACCGTTACCCGACCTTTGACCCCCGAAAAATTCTTCCCATACTTTACCATTGCAAAATTTTCGGGGCTTATTTTATAAGAAGTTTCGCGAGTTGGCGCCTGTGAAATGAAGTCTTTGTTTCAAACCATCATTATGATTTATCGCATACAACAATCTGTTTTTTGAAAGTACCGGTAAAGAATTTTAGCCTAGTCTATCATAGCTAGTTCTACACTCATTTTTTATTACTACAATTAAATTAAAACTCCTAAGACGACAGAGTGATCATTGCATTATCAGATTAATATATTAATTTCTGAAACACAGCTGAAAATTAACGACTAGAGTTCAAAAACGCGAAAACGAGGTAATGTTTACGACCGCGCCTGAAAATCTGTCTGAGTGAGAAAAGTGTCTGAGCGGATGCGAAAAGGCAGCATTGTTACGTCAATTTTTGCATCTTGTTGATTGGCTAATGTCACGAAGTAAACAAGGAAGTCGATGCTCGGGGAAAGGTCCAATAAGTTCTTGATCACCATCGAGTTATTTAGTTCAACCTAAATGTCGGAAACACAACTGAAAACCACGAAAACGTGCCAATGTCTACAACCGCGCCACGTCTGTTTGGAAAATAAAGTTTTGTTTGGCATCTTACTGATTAGTAACTGTTACGTAAATAAGCAATGAAATCGATGCTCGGAGAAACATTCATCGGATTCACCGACGATGTACGACTACGCAACTGAGAGTCTGGGTAATTTGAGCCAGTGGTTCTACACCTTCTTGTTCTTATCTTGCGACACAAATTTCTTAAAAATATAAATTTTATGAAATCACGCGATTCGAGAATATATAAAAATACTAAACGACATGTAGTACTGCTATGGCCCTGAACTTGAAAAACTAATACATACACTCATTTTCATATATATATATATATTATTTTATATATATTATTCCGAGGGAAAGAAGAGCCTATGTCTGAATTATATGCCAAACCAATTCCTTAGTCTGGTTGCAGTCAATAGGGATATTTAATAGGCTATGTTTCAGATATATTTCGTTTTTGTCAAAAAACACGAGACTCTCGCGTTAGGCGACACTGATTTAACCTGTACCCAATTGCGGTTAAAAACGCAATGGATAAAAGTACAAGCGTATTTCGTCTCCATAAAGATGTGAGCAGATATAAGAGGGTGGAAATTGTATCAAATTCGACTCTGATCCAATACTAACATGAAGCCTATATTATATTCTTAGTTATTTTTGTATGACATACGGAATACATTAGTTCACGAAAAATTTCATTGTATTTAGAGACAACAAAAACCTCCCGAACAGCCACCAGTACACATAGATGAAGCTATACCATTGAACATCATGCACAAATTTGGTGCAGATCAAGTCAAAAGCCTACTTAAAGGAAGCGAATATGAGGTATGCTATTGATGAACTCAAGTGATATCGCCTCATTATCGGGCCACGTTCGCAACACGACGTAAAATAATACTTTCAGTTGGAGGGCCAAACCATTTTTGCATAAATTATGTTATTTCTAAACTCCACCAGACTTACGTCGTCACTACGACGCCACAGTAACGTAATAAGGCCTTCCAAACTATAATAACTGTCATCCACGACGTGCAGACGATCACCCGAGATCGCGAAAGCTATTTCTCGTCGTCACGATCCCGATATGAGGCGTTAAAGAGTTTGTTATCGTTGGCGAATTGCCATTTCGGGCAATTATACCTATATTTTGGCAAGCTTTTTGACGTGATTGTGACGTCGTAGTGACTTTGAATGTCGGAGCGAGTTGGGGGGTTAGAAATTACATATGCAAAAATGTCACGCCAAATAGAAGTATGTGTGTCGTCTAGTGAACATGCGCCCCAATATCTTCAAATACTAACCTCTAAAAATCGTTCCTTTAGGTGAGAATGGCACTTGAGAAAGCAAAGAAATCGGATTTATCCCATGCAGGTGAGATAATAATCAACAACGAACTGTTATTCGAACCTACAAGAGTGACTTTCTACAATTTTTTCTAGGTATGGTTCCACCCAGGATTGACGTCCCAGAACTCAATCACCCAATTAACCCACCGACTAAGTACTACACAAATTTCGGGCAAAGCTTGAAATATGATAAATTTGAAGGTAAATATTTTTGTCACGAATATGGACATTTTAAAGCAAGCCATCTAAAATCCAAATGGTAGCCGCTTTTTTGAACATTAGGGATGCGATTGCCACAGCACCCATTATTACCCCGCGGCATCCTCCACCATCAAGTCTACGTATTCTAAAGCTTTCTTCCCATCGATTTAAAAATTACGGGTCGTTATGATTATGAATCATTCGTACGTTTTTACCATTATACACCTTTGGTATCGTTTGTGTACAATCCAAATTAAATATCCGATTCTATCGCTACACAACAAATTCATATTACAAGCATTTATAATGGGCAGGCTGGCGTATTTTCATATTTCCCTCGAGTGAGCTGTGCGTCAACTTACTTGTAGCACAAACTATCAAACCGCGTTCTGTCCACACATGAATAACTCTCCTATAATAAATAATCACTGAATTTTGTCATACAACAAAAGCTGCAATTAAGTAACCTTTAACCTTATCTTGACCTGAGCACTTGGCATATACAATTTGCCACCAATGAAACAAGGTAATAGATCAAATAATATTGAGAACAACGCGTCAAATTGTGTATATTGCAAATCATAACCGGGAAATCAAAAGTGATAATTAGAATTCAGATTTTTGAAGACATGCAAAACGCATAAAAAATAAGTTATAATTAAACAAATTCCCATCTTCTTCCAGGTGGACTTCATTTGTACATAAACTGAAGAATCAATGCAACAATAATTCGAATTCTCCCAGAATGAAAAATCTATATATTTCAAATGAATGTTAAAATGTACTGCGAATTTTAGATTACCAAAGCAACAAACAGTGCTCTTTTGCCACACAGAAAACATTTTTTTCTTTTGATGCTCATTCCATTGTATCAAACGTTGAGTTCTGATTTTCCACCCAATTTTCCTTCGTATCGTTTCAAAGCTGGTTCAACTTCAATTTCAAGAAACTTTTTTACCTAATGTAAAACAATTTTACCAAGATTGTTTTATTTGCATTAACGAGCTTTACCAAAACAGACAAAAAAATCTTGAAGATGTTCAATTAAATATTCTCTGAGCATTAAAATATACTGGGTATAAACAGCAGTGTTAAATTTTCTACACAAGTTGGATTGCAAATTTAGTAATATTAGTGACTCTGACTCATTACTGAAATCAATCACTGAGCTTATATGCAGAATATATAAGGTACTCCTGCTGTAGTGTGTCTGTGTGTACCAGGTTAGGCCATAATTTTTTTCCGGTTCATCTCATTTTATTTTTATTACAAGTTCGGGGACTGTCCGTTTTAGCCAAGTGAATATACCCACTGGGGCTCTCGTTCCTTTACACATCTTGATGTAAAGTGGGCGAAAAATTTAGTTACCTCCATAATGGTATACATACTTCTGGAGCACTCATGATTCATTACAAACTTGAAAACGTTGTTCAACATTATTCAGTTCAGTCAGTGTGGCCGACAGATAAGAAAAACTTACTTGGTAAGGTGCTAATCCAATAAACGTATTTGGATCCAGGATTCCATCAAGTGCTTCATGAATAGGAGCAAAAAAATGATCAGACTTGATTCTTTCAATCAAATCATTCACACGGCCTTCCTGCTTCACTGCTTTCGCAGCTTCATTTGACAGCACTCTTATCTTCTCATGGACTTCCTGGTAAATGTATAGTCAAGCATAATTTCTATCTGAACAGGACTGCGTTAAATGGTTTGAATTACAAGGATCTTTCTCACCAACCATCCCAAAAACCTGATCCTCAACATTGAACCTAAATAAAATCCTTATATTTGCAGATTCGCGTGGTATTTTAGAGTAGTTATGCTTTTATTTTGTAGTAAGTTGACACATTCGCGAGTTGATAGTTGTACACAATTAGGTGCTCCCGAAGTATTCGTACCAAGATGTCGCACAACCTGAACATAGTATGTGTAAAGATTAGGGTTGTTCAGGTTGTGCGTCATCTTGGTACGAATACTTCTGGAGCGCCCACAATTAAATTAATAGAAGCTAGAAATTCGAAATGCCCATATCAGCCATGAATTAAATGTTTTTGGCAACAGAAAAGAATTATCTGCTCTTTGGGTGGCGTTATCGAGGCGATTGTTTCATAAGCTGTTGCAGAAAATTACTGATTTTCACCACTTTTTGGAAAACTAGGCTGCGCCCCTGAGTGGATATGTTGACGTGTCAATGTTGACTATACAATTGAAATCATATTATAGGTGTCGCAGATCTATAGTTAATTCAGTGACATAGACATAAATTCATGTTTTGCAGTATAGTAAATCATAAGACACAAAAAATAACATGACCGCTCGTGTAACTTTTATTTTGAAGAAGGGAGCACAGTTTTACTAGAACATTGTGATCTGAAAGTGACTTCTGTGACTTAAATGAAGAATGAAACATCAGAGAATAATACCTGTCTATCCCCACCAGCCTTCACCATCTCCATGATAATATTCTCAGTTGCCATGAATGGAAGTTCTTGTTTAATTCTTTGTTCAATTATCTGTAACAAAAAGTAAAAACAAAAAAATAAACCATGCGAATTACTATCTCTAGACCATGAAAAATTGGTTTATCGTGGTAATTATAATATTGTGAACAGGTAACGATGAGCTATCCAGCAAACCACAATCAGAGACGCTAAATAAAATGGCATGTGAGCAAGATGCAAGTTTTTCGTAGCAAAAAGATCATATACATATGAGATAAAATAAGTGTATACCTTGGGATAAATCACTGGAGACTCAAAAATGTTCTGCAAAATAGACAGTATAATATCAGCAGTTAAGAATGCTTCAGGAAGGCATATTCTCCTGTAAAAAATAATAAAAACGGTTTGCAAATATGAACATGTAAACCAGGGGTAGGCAATTACTTTACTTAGCGGCTAGTCCCACAGCTAGGTTAATTAACGTTTATATAATATTAAGAGCACAACATAATAAATGGTACTCTCGAAGTATGTGAACCAAGTTGGCGGGCACCGAAACGTAATATGTGTACCAGGTTAGGGTAAGGCCATTATTTCAATACTGCGGGAGTTACTTGGACTGAAATTAAGGCCTAACCCTAACCTGGTAGACCTGTTACGTTCCGGTTTCGGGTATATTGGTTCACATACTTCGGGAGTACCCAATCCGGGGTCCTTATGACGTTATTTTCATCGATATTTTCAACGAAAATTTATATTCATAAAAACTTTCAGAATACACAAGTGGGCAAGATGAAACACTTCGGTGAGCCTGATCTGGCCCGCGGGCGTAATTTGCGCACCCCTGATGTGAAGAGAACATTGAATGCACACGGGTCATGATTTTGATGAAGCTTTTTTTATGGGATTGTTCAATTGCAAAAATGAAGATAAACCTGTTAGCACTATCATCAAGAGTTCGTTCAAACCATTGCACTGCAGCAGTTTGAAATGGATCGGAAACTAATGCAATAAGATGTCGTGCCAGAGAACAGCATCTTTCACTTTTCATAGGATTACGTTTGTAAGCCATTGCACTTGATCCTACTTGCTCCGCTCCAAATGGTTCCTCCATTTCTTTCATGCCAGCAAGCAGTCGTATATCGGTACAAATCTAAATATTGATGTTTGGAACCTTAATATCTGATATAGAGGACCTTTTATTTGAAACATGATCGTGGAAGTTGTTTCAAGATGGTGGTTAATACCAATTCAGACATATAAAATTTGAAAACATCGGTGACTATTCTGTGTTAAAACTAGAAAATATATTTCTCAGTTTTATAGAGGTAAGCATCCCTGCTAATTCTTATCTTAAGTTGATGCTAGATACACAGATTGGAATGTCTTCAACACCATTTTCAGTAATTCAATGATAACGAAAAAGGATAAATCGGCCTAAAAAGAAATCATGTAAATATGTGCAGTTTTCCATGTTTGAAAGCATTTTATGTATTTCTACAATATATAAATCCTGTATTCCCATTGCTATGAACAATGCAAAGTAAATTACTTTGGAAAATCAGTACATTAACAATTACCTGCCTTGTGGATAGATGATCCCAAGCTAGCAAGTCTAGAAAGTATATCAGCATCCACTTTCCTTGGGTATGTCTGACCAGTTATAATATATGATCTGAAAAATGTTTTTAAAATTGAAATTTTCAGAAACTAGTGCTAGTACAAAATGTACAGGTGAGTTAACTTTTAGACATAAAAAGTTTAAAAACTGAGAGAATATTATATTATAAAACCTTTAATTCAGATTCGTTTTCAATTAAACTATGAATTTCCATGAAATCGGAATGCAGTTCACTTACTTATTGAAGTTGCACATTTCGGTGATTCGATCATTCAATTTTTCAACCTTAAATTCAATTAAGAAGTAGAATTAAATTTTAAAAAGCATCAACGTAGAAAACTTGTGCCACTGTTTAATCATGAAGGAATAGTAAATGTAACAATCTTTATATGGCATCAATAATATCATGATCTTCTTCCTAAATTGAGAATATCAGTTCCGACAAGCAATTCTGAAAATGATATCTATAATTGATGGAATCTATAACTTATTTTTGGTCTTGGTATCTGTTTCAATTTTACCACTTTCAACTGATGTCAGAAAAGTTTTACCTGAATACTTTGAATATCGAAATGATTCATGTATGTATCAAAAATTAATTACTTTAGATGTATCTTCAAATAAGGCCATAAAACTAGCTTGTGTTCCTGTTGCCCCTTTGATTCCACGAAATTTCAACTCATCTCTTATTCTTTCCAACTGTAGCAAATCAGTCAGAAGATCTTGTATCCAGAGACAGCATCGTTTCCCTACAGTTGTTAGTTGGGCCGGTCTAACATGGAAATACTTTACTTGTAGAACAGAAATATAACTTTATGAAAAAGCAGAGACTATAATTACATTTATTTGTAAATGGCAAATTTTGATTCAGTACGTTGTTATGAAAATGTCATCCGCAACTGAGAATAACAGTATGTAAATAGGTAATGTCTAAACCAAAACAAAAGTAAGAGCTTTAAAAGAATTGATGGATGCAAATACCAGTCTAGTATGGAGAGAATTGAATATTAATAAAGTAAAAATCAACAATAAAATGCCCTTGAAACTATGTGAAACCAAACTGGTTTCAGCTGCAATTAATCCAGTTCAGAGATGGAAACAAAATAGTAGACGCATGCTGAAAATAATGTGCATAAGAAGTGCAGACGATCATCATTATAATGAACTTGAATTAGATAAAATACATTACTGGAAATGTGTGAACCCCAAGGTTGGCAGATCAGCATGCTTTCTGGAAAATTCTGACATGTGCTTTATGCAGCAAGCTATCTGTAGACAAATGTAAAAATCCATTGTTACAGGCAAATTAGAAAACCTCATTAAATGTAGATTAATTGAAATTCACTACTGATTGAGCATTACCTTCGGTAAAAGAATATCCATTCCATCTCGGAGCACAATGAGATCCTGAAATGACATTTATATATTTTTGAATTTATTTTGTCATAAATCATGACCTGGCCAATATATATATAGTTTGATACACACTCACTGTGTTATCTCCAACATAGCAGGATGTTGCACCAAGATGTATAATAGGAGCAGCTTTCGGACATCTACTTGCATAAGTTTTTATGTGAGACATCACATCATTGTTTGAGTGATTTTTCCATTTCAGCAGCAAACTTAAAATCCTCTTCAGTCAATACTAAATTGTTTTCAAGTTCATGGACTTGTTCATCTGTTATTTGAAGACCCAATTCCTGTGGAAAATGAACATAATAGAATCATCCGGTTGCTAAGTAATTAATCACATACATACCAAGGTATATAATTTGATATACACTGTGTCAACTTTTGTCGCATTACAAAGGGCGTTTCACACAATATTAACAAAGAAACTCAAAAAAAAGGGCACAACTGTATAGTACCGTATATATATTGTATTTATTTCATACTCACTTTTTCTGCTTTGGCTAAATAAAGCCACAGCTTTCGCCAAATTGAAAATTTCTTTGCATCACTGAAGTTATATGCCATTTCTTTTGAAGCATATCGAGATACAAGAGGAGACTGGTACTTCTGTTTTGCTTCCATGATTTTATAAAAATAGTCACTAAAGAGTAGAGAGAAACAATGCTTCTAAGAAGAAACTAAAAACACAATTATGATTACATAGTATAAAGTATGAAACCCCCTAATAAATCAAACACATTGTAGATTTTACCATCAGAGAGCATTTGTTAATATTATTACAGCCTAATGTAGATATGATTGCCAGCAATAAAATTACTCAATGTTACAAATTCATTGAATCTTCTCAATAGAATCAACAGCATGAGCTGTGTCTTCTTTTTTCTTTTGTTTAGCATTTTTGACACAAGTTTCGAAAAGTCTCAAATAAAGCTCAATAGACAGGAGAGAATCATCATTACCGGGAACTGGATAAGTAACTAAACAAGGATCTGAATTTGTATCTGCAATTCCCATTGTAGGTATATTCACTTTCGCACAGTCAGAGATGCATGAATGCTGTTGGTTTACATTATTCAATAAAGATAAAAACACACACAAACTAGGTAATTTTGCCGCATGTCGATCAGGCGTCAAAAAGTAATGTCTATAATAGGTTCGCGCTAAAGCATACTCTCCACACTCGCGAGCCATTTTTTCAACAGCATGGCCATAGATATGTGAATGCATAATAAAAAGAATGATTCCATCGGCGTAAACAACATGAGACAAGAAATTCAAAGCTTGAAATAAATGTTCTAATGTTTCATCGAGGTTTATCACATCGACTCCATTTCTGCAACCAAATATATAAGGCTGCATATTTTGGTTTCGACATCCCTCTTTATGTCCGTAATGTACTCTTGCATTGAATAGATCCTCCACTGTAACCAACTTTCTCACACCAAAATAATCCTCATGTTGGAGTGGGTTTATTAAAGTTTGTTCAGTGCTCCCGTCAGAGTTAGGTTGAATTTGAATTGATCGTTTTGCAATTTTCAAATTTACAGTCGTGTGGTTTGTTATACGTCTATAGAAAGTCTTCTGAAGAAATTTTATCACCGACATGTTGACTTATTTCTTCAAAGTCATGATGACCCAATCTATCCAAGTGCAGTTTTCAATAAACTTGGTTTTTAGACAGGAACATAATAATCTAAAAAAATTATAAACATTTTGGCTATAACAGTATAAGCTGGTAGACAAAAAAGTATTTTAAAATATCAGAGACTAGGACTAATTCAGTAATTACCCACATAGCGCACTTCTACTATTTATTTTAATAAACAACAAAGATTGAAAAATAAATGAGAAATCATTGAACTTTTCACTCCAACTGGTTTAAAATAAATTTTCCTTAACACGTCCAAGTTCACTACTGCCGTTTCGTTTTTAAAAAATAATATGGCTGTACCAGGAAATCCAAACGGAACGTGCGATTATGCGAAGAACGAGTGCCAAGAAAGCTGATTAGAATCGGGAAACACTACGGTACCATAATTCGTCTTACCGTAGGCGTACCGGGGGTCTGGTATAGTTTAGTACCACATGCACTTCTAATCAGTAATTTATTTTTGCATATGTCAATCCATACTACCCAAAATGACGTAATTTTTCGATGACGTAGTCAGGTGGGGGTTAGGATTGACATATGCAAAAATAAATTACTGATTAGAAGTGCATGTGGTACTAAACTATACCAGACCTAGTCTAGTTTAGTACAAGTACTTCCAGTTGGCGTATCGAAACGAATTTTGCATATGTTATTCCTAACCCTCACTTGACCATGCCTTCCAAAAATTACGTCGATACGACGTCACAAACACGTCATAGGGCTTGCCAAAGTACAATTACAATCGCCCGAAATGGCATCTGCGCCGCCGATAACGAACTCGCATACGCCGGCGATCTCGCTTCTAACGTGATCGTTATGACGGGAAAACGAAAGAAATAGCTTACTCGATTTCGAGTGATCATCTGCGCGTTTTGGACGACCATCCGCATACTTTGGTGGGCCTTATTACGCCAATGCGACGTAATTTTTCGGTGACGTAGTCAGGTGGGGGTTGGGATTGGCATATGCGAAAATTGTTGAGCCAGGCCAACTAGAAGTGCATGTGGTACTAAACTATACCAGACTCATCATTTCGACGTTACAGTGGCCAGTGGCGCAGCCAAGGGGGGAATTTTCTGAAAAGTGAAAAAGTTGCCGATAACACGTGCAATTGCCTTCTGCTAAAATCGCCGTTCGTTTTCATCAACGCGGCATGTTATTTATGCCGTGAACGCCCTTTACATTAGTGTTTATTCTCTTTAAATCACAAATTTGTGCCGCGGGAACAACGATCATTATTTTTGTACCCGCACGGAAATGTGAAAACTGAGAAAGCGTGCAATTGCCTTCTGCTAAAATCGCCCATGTTTTCATCAGCGTGGTATTTAGGCCGCAAACGCCCTTACGTCGGTTTTTATTCCTTCTAAATCATAAATTTGTGCCACGATAAACATGATAATTATTTTATTTTTGTACTTTGCACGGAATTGTGAATTCGTGAGTTATTATACGTTCATCGGTGGCGAGGTTCTAAAGACAAAGAAGGAGTGAAACCGCGATCTAAATTTGATTGAAAAGCGGCATTATAAAATACTGAAAATAAAACCGTAAACAATATAAGTTTTGTTTGAGTCCCGCGACAGTCTAAAAACGCTTTTCTAGTCGCAAAATTTTGTTTGCCTACGGCGCACATTATGTTTGGTCGCCGTTTAGGAACATACCGTCACTAAAATCGAAACACGGTTAATTGTGGGTGGGATTTGCCTTTTATCCATTAACTTTAAAATTGTCGTAGAAATTTTTCGTGTCCTTATTAAACAAGGTTGAAAACGCGATTTTTTTCCCGGTTTGTGGTGATATATAAGATAATTAATCCGAAGTATATCCATCAATTTTTATTGTACTGAAATAAATTTTACTCCATGATTTTAGAGAAGAGTTTTCAGGAGGTTTTATCTTTAAAAATAATCGGATTGTCAGCATTGCGATTGAACGGAGTCAATGTTACAAGCACATCTCAAATTTGTCGAATTTGCAAAATAGAAAAAATACGGATCAAAACAATATATGATAGGCGATGGGCAGTCACCACAAATTTTTATTTTCATGTCGGCAAATGGCCGAGGTATTTTAAAATTGTGAATTGTAAAAAATTGTTTTGTTTTGTCGACGCAAACGCTGGTTAAATTGAAGACAATTAAATTAATAAAGCAAAACATTTTAAATATGCCCTTATCGGTCACGAATTGATTACTTTGCACAACAGAAAACATTTTTCGTTGTAAACGTCGGCTCTTTTACCAAGTGGCGTAATCGCGGCCATGAATATGTATTTTTGATTTAACGATATACTTCATATGCATTTTCATTGTACGAAATAAAATTGTACTTTTCGGGATTTTGTATCAGTTATTGAGATTTTTCTAACGGCGATAACGAGTTGGCAAGATTCCAAAAATACTTATTAAAATTAAATACACTTTTTATCTCATATTTTTATGTCCACCGATCGCCGTGGCATTTCAGAGAACTAATGTTTTAATTTTGACTTAAGAAGAAGCAACCGCGAGTTACGTTGGACACAATTAAACTAATATATAAAGACATTTTAGAATTTTGTAGTTGTCAGATATTGAATATTTCACGCGACAAGAATAATCATTATACGCTGAAAAGACGTCCCTTTAACGAGCGCGTAATGCGAAGACTGTTACAGACCGCAATGGGAATTTATGATTATGAACCCCCTCCCCCCCTCCTTTTGAAAATCCTGGCTGCGCGCCTGACAGTGGCGTAATAAGGCCCACCAAAGTATGCGGATAGTCGCCCAAAACGCGCAGACGATCACCCGAAATCGAGCAAGCGATTTCTCTCGTTCTGGTCACAACGATCACGATAGGAGAGAGATTGCCGGCGTGGGCGAGTTCTTCATCGGCGGCGCAGATGCCATTTCGGGCGATCGTAATTAATATTTGGCAAGCCCTATGACGTGTTGGTGACGTCGTAGTGACGTAATTTTTGGATGGCATATTCAGGCGGGGGGTTAGGAATTACGGTCTGGTATAGTTTAGTACCACATATACTTCTAGTGGGCGTGGCTTAAAATTTTTTAATATGCCACTCCTGACCCCCACCTGACTACGTCATCCAAAAATTACGTCACTCCGACGTCAATATCACGAAATAGAGCTTGCCAAAGTATAACGACGTCACCCGTAATGGCGCCTGCGCCTACGTTCATAAACTTCCTGCGATCGCCAGCGATCGCCAGCGATCTCTCTCGTTTCATGGTCGCTTCGCAGAGCTGCTCAAAATGAATATAAAACACAAGCGAGACGCCAATTTCCGACAACGAACATTCACAAATGCCTCATCTGAGCAACAGTGTGATTCTGTGGGTGGATATATTAATTTACGTTCACGCAATGGATATAGTTGGGTACAACACATAAAAATACCTACTATTTTACTTGTTATACGTTACCTCTAACAAAAGCCATACACAAGCAGAAACTGACATAATAATTTACGTTTGATGCCCTGCGATATACCAAATATTGTGCCACACTTTAATAATAAATAGGATTTATACGTTTTCACTTTAAGTAAGGTTTTAGACAAGCAGAAATAGACATATTAATTTACATTCACATGGGTGTAGTTTCGCACCACAATAACTTCTAGTGGGTGTGGCGTAAGAATTTTCGCATATATCGTCATTCAAAAATTACGTTACATATTTTATTCTAAATCTCCATGTGACTACGCCCTCCAAAAATGGCACCACTGCGGCGTCCCAATCGCTCAATAGAGCTTATTAAAGCATATACATGTAGAATCGTGATATATTAACCCATACGTGGTAATCAGATACGTACGGTGATGGGTCTAGTTTAGTACCACATGTACTTTGAGCAGTCGTAGGCTAACCATATTTACATATTCTATTCTAGAACTCCCTGTGACTACACCCTCCAAAAATGACATCACTACGACGTCACAATCACGCAATATAGACGATTAAAATATAAGAACACCAGAACGGGATATATGGCATATACGGCGATAGGTATAGTTTAGTACCACAAGTACTTTTATTGGTCATAGGATATCCATCTTTACATATTTTATTCTAGATATCCATGTGACTACGCCCTCCAAAAATGGCACCACTGCGGCGTCCCAATCGCTCAATAGAGCTTATTGAAGCATATACATGTAGAATCGTGATATATTAACCCATACGTGGCAATCAGATACGTACGGTGATGGGTCTAGTTTAGTACGACATGTACTTTGAGCAGTCTTAGGCTAACCATATTTACATATTCTATTCTAGATCTCCCTGTGACTACACCCTCTAAAAATGACATCAGTACGACGTCACAATCACGCAATATAGACGATTAAAATACAAGAACACCAGAACGGGATATATGGCATATACGGCGATAGGTATAGTTTAGTACCACAAGTACTTTTATTGGTCATAGGATATCCATCTTTTCCACGACCTTGGTTACGACAGCCGATAAGCCCGATATTATGAATGTACTGGTGCCGAAGTGTGTAGGAATCAGTGTACCGAAGACAATAATATCATCCATTGGATCGCTTGAGCACTGTTTTAGTTTCACTCATTCTCTCAAAAAGTGCATAAATGAATATCTGCAGTGCACAACTAGTTCACAAATTTTATTTCCCTTCATATCTTGCTTTACTAAGCTATCAACGATTTGATGGCCTTATTTTCCGACGTCACATGCAGCCCAAAACGAAAAATCTGCAATCTTTGTATTCTTGTTTTTAAACTGTGATTTCAATACTCAAGTATAATGGAGGTAAATTAGGAATGCTCAAAATCACTCACAATAAATTCTTGTTCTGAGCGAAAATATATAACAATTTGCAAAAAAAACTGTGCTAAAATATATGTTACATCCATCCTTTTATTTCGTAATAGTAACATATGACTTAATATATTCCGTTTCCGGGGCATTTTAAAAATTTTCAACTCTTTTGCGTGATTTTGACGACGTATTGACGTAATGTTTGGAAAACATATCCACGTAGTTCCGGCGTCCTTATATTTCAATCAGCTATATTGCGTGATTGTGACGTCATAGTGGCGTAATTTTTGGACGGCGTAGTCACAAGGATATCTAGAATGAAATATGTAAAAATGGTTAGTCTACGACTAATTAAAATGTACTTGTGGACTGTGGTACTAAACTAGACCCATCGTCGTACGTGTTTGGTCGCCACGTTGGGGGTTAATATATCCCGATTTTGTAACATTTTACTTTAATCAGCTCTATTGCGCGACTGAAACGTCGTAGTGGTGTTGTTTATGGATGACGTAGTTACAAGAAGATCTGAGATGAAATATGTAAAGATGGATAGCCTATTTACCACTAAAAGTACTTGTAGTACTAAACTATACCCATCGCCGTATGTGATATATATCTAGTTCCTGTGTCTTTATATTTCAATCAGCTAAATTGCGTGATTGGGACGTCGAATTGATGTCATTTTTGGGTGGCGTATTCACATGGATATCTAGAATAAAATATGTAAAGATGGATATCCTATCACCATTAAAAGTACTTGTAATACTAAACTATAACCATCGCCGTATGTGATATATATCTAGTTCCTGTGTCTTTATATTTTAATCGTCTATATTGCGTGATTGTTACGTCGTAGTGATGTCATTTTTGGATGGTGTAGTCACAGGGAGATCTAGAATAGAATATGTAAATATGGTTAGCCTACGACTGCTCAAAGTACATGTCGTACTAAACTAGACCCATCACCGTACGTATCTGATTGCCACATATGGGTTAATATATCACGATTCTACATGTATATGCTTTAATAAGCTCTATTGAGCGGTGCCATTTTTGGAGGGCGTAGTCACATGGATATCTAGAATAAAATATGTAAAGATGGATATCCTATTACCAATAAAAGTACTTGTGGTACTAAACTATACCTATCGCCGTATATGCCATATATCCCGTTCTGGTGTTCTTATATTTTAATCGTCTATATTGCGTGATTGTGACGTCGTAGTGATGTCATTTTTGGAGGGTGTAGTCACAGGGAGATCTACAATAGAATATGTAAATATGGTTAGCCTACGACTGCTCAAAGTACATGTGGACTAAACTAGACCCATCACCGTACGTATCTGATTGCCACGTATGGGTTAATATATCACGATCCTACATGTATATGCTTTAATAAGCTCTATTGAGCGATTGGGACGCGCAGTGGTGCCATTTTTGGAGGGCGTAGTCACATGGAGATTTAGAATAAAATATGTAACGTAATTTTTGAATGACGATATATGCGAAAATTCTTACGCCACACCCACTAGAAGTTATTGTGGTGCGAAACTACACCCATGTGAATGTAAATTATTATGTCTATTTCTGCTTGTCTAAAACCTTACTTGAAGTGAAAACGTATAAATCCTATTTATTATTAAAGTGTGGCACAATATTTGGTATATCGCAGGGCATCAAACGTAAATTAATATGTCAGTTTCTGCTTGTCTATGGCTTTTGTTAGAGGTAACGTATAACGAATAAAATAATAGGTATTTTTATGTGTTGTACCCAACTATATCCATTGCGTGAACGTAAATTAATATATCCACCCACAGAAATCAGAATCACACTGTTGCTCAGATGAGGCATTTGTGAATGCTCGTTGTCGGAAATTGGCGTCTCGCTTGTGTTTTATATTCATTTTGAGCTCTGCTAAGCGACCATGAAACGAGCGAGATCGCTGGCGTTAGGAAGTTTATGAACGTAGGCGCAGGCGCCATTACGGGTGACGTCGTTATACTTTGGCAAGCTCTATTTCGTGATTGTGACGTCGCAGTGACGTAATTTTTGGGTGACGTAGTCAGGTGGGGGTCAGGGGTGGCATATTGAAAAAATTTTGAGCCACGCCCACTAGAAGTATAAATGTGGTACCGGTACTCAACTATACCAGACCCCAATTACCAACGCTTACAGTCTTACCCAGAACTTTACGGCTCGAACTGATTTCAACATGAGTTTCTTCTTGTTCTATGAATCTTATTTCTGTATTTAGTTATCATCTTTTGAATGGGCTCAAATTAATTCCTGAAAACTATTGCTCTATCTTTTACATTGTGATCAAAATGAGAGAAACTGTGTCAGGTATACCACTACGGTTGCATCAAATCTGCAAATGCAACATGCGGACATGCATAAAATTGTAAAGAGCCTACTTGTTTTTCTGTCCTCTTTATATAAATATTCTAAAACTGATAATATGCTGTGATTATCAATGAATACTTAACTAGACTATATTTGTGTTATGTTACAGTTATATTCTTCTCATAATTATGTAAATATAGGCAATATCGAGAAATGTGGCAAGAACAAAACTGTTTCTTGTGGCGTGAACATAAAATCAGAAATGTCATTGAGACATGGCTTTCGACGCTCTCATGATGTCAAAGAGGTCATACATATCAGAGCAAACAAACATAGTGGTTATTTCAACTCTGATTGCAAACAGTTTGCTATTGATCCACATGTGACAACTTTTGCTGATATTCGAGAAATATTGGTTAATGCATTCAATCTTACTGAATTTTTTGAAGTAACTTACCTGTGCAGAGATGATAGAGGAGAAAATATGTATCTTTCTCTGCAAACTGAATGGGATTTGGATGCTGCATTTTTGACATCATCGGAACCATATTTAATATTGAAAATCGAAATTGGATTACCCGAAACTGAAGACTGCCAAGAAGCAGAAGAAGAAATAGAAACTTATGTAAAAGATGCAAAATCTAAAGATTTCTTTTCTTCGTTTGGTTCTTCGACAAGATTTCAAGTTCCGCGGGGATGGTCTGAATTTGCTGGGAATGCAATTGCTAAAATAGCAAGTGGAATTAGCCAAAATATCACATTAGAACAAGAAAATAATACTTTTTTTCCAAAAAAGTCTCCTTTGGGTGATTGCGAGCTTCATGAATACCTCGATGACAGCGGTCGTCTTGTAAAACCTGAAGATATGCGATTGCGAATCTATTATGGAGGTGTAGAACCATGTTTACGAAAAGTAGTTTGGAGGCTTTTGTTGAACATTTTTCCAGATAAATTAACAGCAGAGGAAAGAGTCATTTATATGAAACAAAAGACAAAGGAGTACCATTCTTTATATACACAATGGAAAGCATTAGAAGATCATAACAAATATATACAAGAATTGAAGAAAATGATATGGAAAGATGTTTTACGAACAGATCGAACACATCCTTATTATGCAGGTCGTGATGATAATCCTCACTTGTTATCTTTGCATAATTTGTTGCTAACCTATGCTCTTACTCATAAAAATGTTCGTTACTGCCAAGGCATGAGTGATATTGCTTCCCCAATTCTAATGGTAATGAATAATGAACCCCATGCATATGTCTGTTTTTGTGGTGCTATGAACAGACTTGAAACTAACTTCGATAGTGCTGGGGAAGTGATGATGAAAAAATTTGAGCACTTGTCTCTTTTACTGAGACACCATGATGACGAATATTTTGAATTTTTGAAAGAGTTGGGAGCAAGTAACATGTATTTCTGCTATAGATGGCTGGTACTTGAAATGAAGCGTGAATTTAGTTTTGATGATGCTCTACTGGTGCTTGAAGTTATGTGGAGTTCTCTTCCACCACAATCACCAGACGGTGATTTAGTATTGGGTACATTGAATATTGACAATGAATATGACTGTGTGGAAAAAGAGAGTTCTTATGTGAAAGCAAAAAAGCGACATTCTATGCCTAACCTGACGCTTAATGTGAAAAGTTTACCTACACTGAATGTTGTATCGTCTTATAATAATTTAAAACAACTTGGTGACAATAGGAACGCACAAACAAACTTTTTCCCGTCAATTTCAAATCCATTCGGAAATGCATCGAAATATGGACAAGGATCCTTTTCAAGTAGTGGAGATACAGGGATTGGAATCTTTTCCCCAAGAAGTAGGTTTGAAACCGATTCACTATCTCTACCACCACCTGAGGAATTCGGATGCGGAAATCCATTTTTGTTATTTGTCTGTCTAGCTGTCCTGCTCAGTCAAAAACAAGAACTAATGGACTCTAAAGTAGAATATGCCGATCTTGTGATGCATTTTGATAAACTTTCTCGTAAACATTCTCCTGCGATAATACTTTCAAGGGCAATGCAACTTTTTGCATCATACCTGAAATCGCAAGCTATGTGACTTTTATTTATCATAATCATTAATTAGTTTATCAATAATATTTAAGAATCATGACAATGAATTTGTTTGAGCCCTATGAATTCAATTATGTAATCCGACATTTCTTCATTATTTTTATTCAATTTATGTTTATCATCCCTAATTCTTCAATCTTGGTAGCTGGTGTAGGCTTTTAGAAAAGCATTTATTATTATTCACTGGGCGAAATATTTAATGAATTTCAATTTAATTTTAAAATATATGCCCATTGTTTAAAACTATTTCAATACATCCACACAATAAGGTATTTGAAGATGAAGTATTTACCTGAAAATGTATATATTTTGAAAATCTCTTGACTCAAACTATGAGGTTTCTGCTATAATATATATACATGGTATTCATAAAGTTCTAAATTAAATTACCAGTAGGGATATGCTTCATGCAAATAACGTTGGGCATGTAACGGCGTATTGAATGAAGTAAAAAACCTAATAACCACCGGTTAAAATAAAATACATTTATTTGATTATGATATATTAAAAACCGACTTGATAACAAAATTGTAACAGAATTTTGAGTACACCCACCCTGTATATTAAAAGTTTAAATTTGCTTCAAAAGACATTTTCAATTTCAATCCTTGTTACCTTCATGGAGACAATCTACTACAACATTTATGACATTTACTAAATGTATTGATCCTTAAAAATGCATAGGACAATTAGGTAAATGATAAATATACTTTAGTTTAGATGAATTAGCTATATTCAATTTAGATGCTATATTTTAGTTATCCAAAAATCCTGTGTCTGTAATATTGTCTTATTGCATCATAGATAAGGATCAAATATTTGTTTGTCATCCTAGCCTAGAAGGTAGTGTGTGTTTCCTGGTGCCAAATATGCTCATGGGATAGAATACTGTTTTGAGCTGTACTGTCTAAATTATTGTGAATGTTTAATTTGTGCAATAATACACAATATAGTACTTTACAATGATGTTCATATTGAATCAGAAATAAGGTGAAAAGGATGATAGTGCTGCAACATTGGCGATTGTGCTGGGCTTTACTTTATATCATAAATATGCCTTTCGGTTTCCGATAGGGGGAATACATGAGCGTTGTCTATATATGAGACACAATATGCAGTGGCCATAGTTTTCTGAAAACACTTCATCAATTTGATTGGTTGGTAATTCTACTGATGGTTATATGTGCAACAGCATCTCAGAAGCCTTTCATATCTAATGATGTCATCAAGGAGCTGATTACCTTGCGCTGATTGGCAACTTCCAATCACATGGAAAGATATCATTGGGTTGCTTCCCATTGTCTCACATCGTCGCTTGTGGCTTTCCCCACCATTAAGTCCATGCATCTATCATTTACCACGATATAATATCGCAATTTGAATTTTTTTTAATAGTCTTTCGATTTTTTTTTTACAGAGACCCATGTACTTACGGTATGCGGTACCGGTATTCAATGGCAAAGCTTTGCTTACCGTGCGGTGTTTAGGGCAGGCATGTGGACGACTTCTTCCTTCAATTAAGTACTATTTCCAAATCCTACACCATCTTGTCATATTTTATGAGAGTGAGAGAATTTATGATTCGTCAAGTCAAAAAATAAACTGATTATAAGATGGAAATCATTTTATCCTCACGCCACAACGATAATTTATCATTCTTAGCCCCGTTGCTTTTTTGACGCGATCACCTCTACAGTTAATAATCCAATACTAGAGGCTTGATTCCAAATGTTACAGCATATATATCAGCAGTCTGGCAACCTTTCGTCCCTCGCCGGACAATATTAAAGGTTGCAAGTCATTGGCGGGACGCACATATTTTTAGAAAGGTTAAAATCGAATGGATGACCGATAAACCACATTTTATCACACAGATCAGAAGTTAAATTTTAAGCAGCGCGCGAAGACTGACCATTTGAATATTTTTGCGCCATTAAACCATTTGCACTTGGCATCAACTTTTCTGCGTTTTGTTGCCATTTGTCTAAATTGTAAACGAGTAATTGTAAATTATATACTTGTGACATTATGATATAATTCAAATTTTTTTGCATAAAGAATATAATCGACAAAACAGCTATAATTTGTTACTATGATTCAGTGAAGCGTCGCGGGCCGGATTTAATCGATTTTACTTTGTACTGTATTTGGGTGTAGTATTACTCATATTTTCCCCCTCTTTTTGTATTAGTGTCAGTAACGTATACAGGATATGCCAGCCATGACTCTTGTCATGGGCACTGTTTGGATACGTGTGCGAAAAGTTGGTACTCCCGAAGTATGCGTACTAAGATGTCGCACAACCTGAATTCTTCCCTGTTAAACCCGAGTTCAAGTTGTGCGCCATCTTGGTGCGCATATTTCAGGAGGTCCGCTTTATTAAGCTAACTAAAAATTGGAAATGAAGGAAACTCATATTTTCATTTAAAAAATAACGTACAAGGATTTTATTCCAACAACAACTGTTATGGTAATAGAAATGGTCAAATAAAGATCAAGGAGGCAATTCTGCCATGAGAGCCATTTTACGTAGATACGCCACCAGTATGTTTACCAGCTTTTCATTTTAGGGGGTGTTTTGAAATTTAGGAGGTGGTGAATATTTTGTAAATCATAAAAATTGATTATGTATTTGGCTAACGATCTGCATCGGGTGGTTCCGAAAGTTGATTGATCGCGGACCAAAAACGAAAGCAGGAGTATATACACGGGCCAGAAAAGGAGAGCTAATAAAAGGGCGTGACGGCACGGCTGGGGTTCAGGGCGCGCTCAAGCGCCCCGAGAAAATTTGAAACATAGGCACTAAGACAAGTTGCAAGATTGATTTTAGATACACCTAGCATCGCAGTTGTTATGTAATAAAATTAATAATTATAATAGTTAGGTTCTAGAATACCCGAGGAATAAATACCAAGCACGGCTTTCAACAATAACTTTGCAACTGATATTGACTAATGAAGTTACTTGCTGAACTAGCATGTGGCCCCGTAGAAATGGCTACTTGTGGCTTGTTTTGTTACACAAAAAACATCCCAAGTTTACATATATAAAAAAACGCATTCAAAAGATTGTCTGTCAGTCTGAACCGAAGTTTTGATTTGTTAGGTTCATAATTGTGTTGTTAGGAAGACTGATGCTGGAAAAGTTACTTTTTATATCAGGAGAAATGACTTCCAACTTGCAGCATACATTCGCGGAAAATTTCCCATTCAACAAACGGGCGATTCCTTTTAGCGATGTTGCGGGCTACAATATCACTTGCCAATAACGTAGATTCACTTTCATTTGGTATTTCTTTAAACATGTTTGTTTGACGTTTGTATGAATTTAGCAATGAATTAAATTTTGAAATACGCGCGTCAACTAATCATAATCCGAAGAATGCTTCGTCTCATAATGAGGCTAATTTTGTATTCCCTCAGAACTGGAATATTCTGTTGGCCAGGAAGACAAATCGCTGAAGATTGATTCTATTCAATAAAGAAATATAAACGCTGCCATTCATCTAAAAAACGTCTGTTTTCAGTGTGTAGTTTTGGTTTTGTGATATCCTTGTTAATATACGACTGATACAATACTGTCGTATGTACTCTAATGCTGATACGTATACCAAAGATATCGGTGTAATTGAATTGCTACGAAATACACGTGCTTAAACTGTGATAATGGTATAACAGTTGGCGGTATTTAAAATGCAAAAAGGGTAAACACAAAAAGTGTTAAACGTATTAGTGTTCATTTGCAGTTACAGTTCAACCGTTTAAATATTTCAATCAAGTTCGGCGGGCCATTTTAAGTCGTTACGCGGGCCGTAATTGACCCGCGGTTTTGGAACCGCTGATATACACTAATAACTATGCCATATTCTATATATATATTTAAATACAAGTATACTTGAGTTGGGAATTACAGTGTGGAATTGTACCTCAAAATAAAAATTACAATAGCCATAGTACCAATTGTACGTATCGCAAATGCAAATGGAGTTTTGTGCGAAGTCAGGGAGGAATCAGAAGCTTAAATTGGGCCAAGGGTATCAAAAATGTGTCAAAAAAGAGGAGGGGCGGAGACACTGGAATAATCACTAATACTAGACAGAGTAGTGCAATTTTTGCCATATATACTTAGAGTAGCTCACAAAAAACTTGATGACATTGTTTTAAGGGTGTCTGTTCTGAGTTCGCCTACGTATCCCTCAGGAATCATAACCTGCCAAGACACTCTTTTTATACGACATTTATCTATGAATTTTGCTCTGAGCAAGGCACTTTACAAGGAGTCACTAATATCTAACGATATGTGAGTGGCTACAAATATTCGGAAAGAACGGAATCTTTTCGGTTCGGCATTGCCTACATAATATATTACACCCTGCGTGAGGCGAGGATATAGGGTTTTCAAGCGGAGATGCACCTGGCCAAATGAGCGAATAGGTAAAGGACGAAGGGGGAAGATAGGTATAAAAAAAGTTGTTAAAATTCAAATCAATGAACTGCTGAAGCTTCAATTAGGCCATGAGACGAGGCCATGAAAAACGCTTAGAAAATGAGTTTGGTATCGCACAAATATTCTGGTTTTGTATGGAAATGATCATCCAATCTCATTTCAACTTGTTCCCACAAACGTAAGATGCACATTTTCGATAAGTGTTGCTTTAATCACTATGGTGCAAAAATTGAGTATAGGGGAATCCAAAACAAGAACAACCATAGTTTAACAACAAAACAGCATTGCAAAATTGCATACATTTATAATATGTCATCAAACGCATCAATTTTTATGCAGTGAAGACGCAAATGAAATCGGTATTACAGTAAACACAAGTAAATCTGTAACTTCCCATTGACTACTCCTCACTGTAAAGATTCGCAATTAGGAAGTTGTCACTGGAGATGCGAGGTTTTTCCAAAGGGGCGTGGCTGATTGGGGGATTTAGACCTATAAATTTTAAATTTTCTAATTCGATATGAGTGTTCTTGATTCTGGTGTTTCTGCTTTTAATAAGTATTGTGTGTTAGCGTTTAAAGTGAGACCGTGTGCTTCGGACGACGATTTAATTAGGTTGATATTCGATTCAACATTGTTATCTAGAACGCTTTTTTAATCAATTTACATTTTACTATGTGACGTGCGAATACTCGATTAGCATGAAATAATTAATTGTTTGTTGTATAATCGTAAGGTGTAATTGGCCTCCGCGTAACACGTGTGGTTTACATCAGATGTGAGCTTGTTCCGTCGTTCTGTGTTTTTTTTATTTGGTATTGTCTGTCCGTCTGTTGTTTGTAGGCGTTTTACGCTATTTACTTGTCCTTGTCATCGTTGAATAATTGGTAGCCTTTTTCCATTTATTCGTCATTTTATGTGGACGTTTCAAGTGTCTGGAATAAATAGATAATTATTTCATCGCTTCTTTTTATTGCTAAATGAACTTAGGCGATACCACAGTCGGAGTTACGGGATAACAGCATGAAATTGTTTAATTTTCTTTTTAATTGTCACTCACTACAATGTGGGGTATCCATTGATTTTAAATCAAATTTAGCTTTCCTATTGTTCTGGCACTGTCCCAATTTTATTTATATCTCTCTATCGCAAACAGACCCAACATTTGAAACCAATATTTATGTGCATGCAATTGCGTTTCTTGTTATAGTTGTAAAATGCTTGTCTGAAGAAGTCTGACCTCGGTCAGACGAAACGTTACAGAAATATATTTGTGTTCGTGTGCAGCAAGACTCTTGAATTGAATATTCTTTTTATTGCATTGCTATTTCTGATGTTTGTTGTTGTATTTGTTATTCAAACACAGATTAATTCAAATAAACTTACGTGCTTGCCTATAGTTCACTCTTTCAAGCTTTTATATTTCCAACTGGGTAACGGATGGGCGTCGCAACACACAAGTACATTTGGAGGCTCTATTAGATTGTCTTGCGCTGATGGACCCGCATGCCTATGGATGTTTCCCCGAGAATCGAGTTCCTTGTTTATTACCGTAATAATTACGAATTAGCAATAAGTTAACAATGACGTAACAATTGGAATTGTTATCGCCGATCAGACACTTCTTTCACATATGTTCAAGCGTGGTTGCAAACATTGCCTCTTTTTGATAGTTAGTTAGATAGATAGCGTGTTATTCGTCAGTTTTTGGGGTTGAGTTTCCAAAAAATTGATACATCGAGCGCTTCGATATACTAGCCTAAGTTAACTATCATTATCTATAAGCGGCACGTGGTTTATTGTTTTGAATAAAAATGATAGTTTTGAACATGTGAGCCAATTTGTAAACGCAAATTCTTCAAAACACCCTCAAAATCAGCGATGAAAATTTTGCAATACTAAAGTATGTGGAGAATCTTTCTGCAGACAAGAGTCGGGGAACGTTCACAGGGAAAGAATGCTATGGTTTTGACCTGGGTATATATGGGGTTTGGTGTTGACTAGCACCGAGGGAATGTACATCTGTATTGTTTTGTCGGCCCACGTCAAATTTTCTTACGTAAGCGAATTTTAAACATTTGGAAATAGTATTATGATATATATTCAATTATTCTCTTACCATAAATCTTCCACAATGCTAAGTAAGTGGGCGCTAGAGACCAGGGTGGTATCGCGAAAATAATAATAACGATATAAGCGATGAAACGTCGCCCGCATAATTTTTTTACATTCAGATAGCCTATTGGATTAATTTATTGATAGAAGCTTTGAATAGATCGTTCGTTTTGTCTTTTTTAGTTCTGTAGTTGTAGAACTCGTGTTTTGTCTATGCGTGAATTTTAGGATAATATAAATTATTGACGTTTATGTCCAAACTTTTACTTTGCACGGCTACTTAAAATTTGCTAAACACTAGCATTGTGACGTTTTCTATTCGAACATTAGCCTACATCTACACATAGTTTTAACCTAATTATAAACTAGTTGTACTGTTATAGGACGGTTGTTGTTGTTGTGTGCATGTATAATCTTTTGTTTTTCTGTATTTTCTATGCAAACGTTTTTTTCTTGGAAAATAAAAACTAATCTGGATCAAATTCGAACATTGAAATAATATATTTGGATAAACCAATAAATAACCAACCAATAAACAAACTATCATATTCATAAATCCGAATTGGCAGTGGATTTGAATTTGGCAAACACAAAATGTAAAAAAACAAATTATAGGACGGTATGCTTAATACAGTAATATCCTGTGAAAGCTATTGCAATTTTATAATTTGTACATGAGATGTATGCTATATCATATAGCCTATATGTAGGCCTATGAGACATACCGTAGGTGGCAAATAGGACAACCCAATACTGCAATATACAAGCTAGGTATTTTCCTTATTCTCTGTCTATTTTTTGTATTCTTGTTGCATTTAAATAAAAAAAAAGTTATAGGATGGTACTAGTAGCATTAGGATTATGATTTCTGGATTCGAAATAGAGAAATGTGAATCAAACCAGGAATCAGAACAAGTACAGAAGTAGCTATTTTTCAGATTTCAGAATTATTAGGGGGTAGAGATTATGAATACAGGAATAATTTTGATTAATTGCAGATTCACCTTGATTTGGCATAGTTTTATTTAAATACCGGCTTCGTTACAGAGGGAGAAAGCTGGTTCATTTTGTCAAACTATACCCTCAATACTGTTGTACCAGACCACGAAATGCACGCTTTGTGATTTACCCATTCTATCCTAAATTCGTAAGTAGTCAATAAAATTATGGAGTGTTTGTTGTACAGCTCCTTGAAATGATGTTAGTTGTGTTGTGAATTTCGACCATATTCTTTATTTCCAAAATCGTTGGGGTGCGTTAATTTGTTTTTGAAAATATTTATTATATTTTGTATAACATCTTTGCAAACTTTGTTGTTCGGTTGGTGATTCAAAATTTTAAAAATTTTATGAAATATTTCTGGATGAGTTATACTTTTGAGATGCACGGCGCATATTTGTAGACGTATGTTTTTTCGAGTATACTAGGATATTGTGTATTGATCTGCAGGTTCTTTTTTCTTGTCTACTTCCTGTTTCAGATCCATATTAGGCAGTTGCCACAAGGATCCTGAACGAGATAGTACTGAAGCGATGAATAAATAATATTATATATGGATGTTATTCCGATATATTTAAAGCGTTGTTATGTCTATTGTAAAGTTGATTGTCCTTTGATAATGCCAATTTATCCTGATCATGCTAACATTGTCACAATGTAAATTTTGTAAAAAAACCAACTGCCCAAACATTTTTGGCTATGTTTGATAATTCATGCAAAATTTGTACAGCAAGCAGTAAGCACAATAAATCATATATTGGGTATTTAAATTTTTTTTAAGTTATAAGACACCTATGCAGGATGCAGCAATGTCCAAAACATGCCCTGTATTTAAGTATATTCAGAATTAATCATATTGAATGTATCAAAGGATTGATTATTGTAATTATTCATAAAAGTGTCATTTAAAGTCTCGCGACATGATTAAAAACGTCCTAATTTAATTTGTAAAAGGTATAAAAAGCAGGAAAATAATTGAATCACTGTTTATTTTAACTTACATTTATTTGCAAATTTAAATTCAATAAATTTGTCAAGTGATTCAAGAATTTTTGCCTTACTAAGGGGTTTATAGGGGGCAGTGTGATTTTTCACGTGATCTTCCATTCATTCCTAGTTTAACATGACTAAATCTAGAATAGGCTATAATTTAAAGATATTCCATGTTCAAATATATTATTTTACAATGTATTGGAATGCTAGATTATTCCATTTTTTTCATCCATAATCTCATTTTTATGAACAGACTACTATGACAACCAAGAGTTAGATATCCCAGTGTATTGAGCTCACAATATTGTGATTCTGTGGCCTGAAAAGCCCAATTAAATCCTGATTCAGAGTGAGAACCGTGAATCAATGTTGTATAAAAATATATACAGGGTGATGAGGCCTACTTTGTATATGGCCATCATATCTATTCTGATAATTGATTGTTAAACTAGAATGCTCTTGCCAAATAAAAGTGAGATCATAAATCAAGTATACAATTTGCAAGAATATGCCATCATTTATGTTATACGGTAGGTTTTTCTGCCAGTGTATTATATCTTATATGTATATAAGGGACATATTTTATGTTATACCGAATTTTTTTGAGTGGCAAATTCATTGGAGAGTTTCTTAGAAATACTCATGTCAAGCTTTTTATAATTTTAGTTGCTAAAATAGGTAGCAGTGAGGGTGATTTATTACCATGAATATTTTGTTTTATTCGACACAAGTGTACCTTGGATCATTTTTCTTAATTCTTGTTGCTGGGAAAATCGCTTTTTTCCACAAATAATGGACCAATCGTTTTTAATTTTTCGGTAATAAAGATGGTTTAAGTTGCTAGGCTATTACTTTGCTTTTAAGTTCAAAGTCGTATGGAATACGATACTTCAAAAAAAGTTTGCTGTTTGCCTGTTTCATTATAATTAAAAGAGAACATGGGGAACAATGGGGATTTGTAAAAATAGTACTCGATGAGATATTGAATTTCATTATGCAACCACAGGTCATTAGTTTGTTTGACTTATTGATAAATGTTATTAAGATTTGTCTAGAGAATTGGTCAGGAACCACGCTAATGTTCTTTCGTTGTCACAATCTGACAATATTCATATTCACTGTCTGTTTTTCCATTTTGGTACCGTGAAGTTTAAATTACTGTCCTTATGGTAATTGATTTTATTGGTTTATTGATCTACTTATTGAACTCACAGATTTGTCAATCCTCTGTTCATTTATCTAGTCTCAATGCCAATTTTAATTACAACTGTAGTATTCAGTTTTTAAACTTAAACTTTGAAGTTTTTACGTGAGCTTTCTATTGCTATATCCATAAGAACATCAAGGCGATTAAGTATCAATGCCATTAAAAAACTAGAACTTGAGTAAAGTAATTTAGGAAGACTTGCTATGGTCTAATAATAGTTCAAATTTATATATTTTTGGCTGTAACCAAATATTTGTGCACCGGAAACATGATATATATAATTTGGATAAATATAATATTATCTGATAATTGATTGACTTACCGTAATAACCATATTTTATTACAAATGTCATTGCCAAAGGAGCCACATTAGGCATGCTTGGATATGTGACTGAAATTTTGGACAAATTCTTGTGTTTGATATTGTATTAGTTATCAGGATATGGAA